GTGTGTGCGTGTGTGTGTGTGCGCGCTGCGCTGCAGGTGGTTGTGGGGGATAAAGTCATCTTGAACCCGGTGAACGCCGGTCAGCCGCTTCACGCTTCAAATTACGAACTGAGCGACCACCCAGGCTGCAAGGAGGTAAATATACTACCTATGTAGTACTGCTACTGCAGTACTGTGCAGAGCACTATACTGTAGTACGGTAAGTACTGAGACTGTAGTACTGTTCATAGTAGCTACACTGAAGACTAGTTCTGATTGTGATACTGGTCCTGAAGAGGACTAGTTCTGGACCAGAACCCCCCTGCTCAGCAGCTCTCGCCCCCCCCTGCAGGTGAACTCTGTGAACTGCAACACGAGCTGGAAGATCAACCTGTTCATGATGTTCAGTGACCACCGAGAGGAGGTCCTGAAAGGGGTGAGAGGGTGCATGCAGTACACAAATACATCAAGTACACGCATCAGAGCAGTACTGTACCTGCGTCTGACCAATAAACTATTATATATTATTCAAATTATTTGAAACATATCCATCCGGTTGTTGACAGATGACAGGAAGGATGAATTGGTAATAAATAATATTTACATTACATGTCATTTAGCTGACGCTTTTATCCAAAGCGACTTACAATAAGTGTAATGGAGATGTCATCATCACAATAATAACAAATGTCATCATCACAATAATAACAAAGTGTAATGGTGATGTCATCATCAGGGCGAGGTGGTTCGCTTGTTTCACGCAGAGCAGGAAAAGTTTCTCACCTGCGACGAGTACAAGAGCCGAAACCACGTCTTCCTCCGGACGACCCTGAGGCAGTCGGCGAGCTCAGCTACCAGCTCCAACGCACTGTGGGAGATAGAGGTACACACAGACGCACACAGACACACACATAACACGTAAGATATACACACAAACATGTTGGGGTTCTACTAAAGCCCCTGTGTGCTGATTGGTCCATCAGGTTGTCCATCATGATCCGTGTCGCGGGGGGGCGGGACACTGGAACAGCCTCTACCGTTTCAAACACCTGGCTACCGGCAACTACCTGGCTGCTGAGGTAACCATGGCAACACTGTGTGGAAGGAAGTATAATATTTGGATGTTTCTGTTGTTGTTGATGGAGATAATTGTTTGTTTGGATGTTTCTGTTGTTGTTGGAGATAATTGTTTGTTTGGATGTTTCTGTTAGTTTGGATGTTTCTGTTGTTGTTGGAGATGATTGTTTGTTTGCATGTTTCTGTTGTTGTAGGAGATAATTGTTTGTTTGGATGTTTCTGTTGTTGTTGTAGGAGATAATTGTTTGTTTGGATGTTTCTGTTGTTGTTGGAGATAATTGTTTGTTTGGATGTTTCTGTTGTTGTTGTTGGAGATGATTGTTTGTTTGGATGTTTCTGTTGGTGTTGGAGATAATTGTTTGTTTGGATGTTTCTGTTGTTGTTGATGGAGATGATTGTTTGTTTGGCTGTTTCTGTTGTTGTTGGAGATAATTGTTTGTTTGGATGTTTCTGTTGTTGTTGGAGATAATTGTTTGTTTGGATGTTTCTGTTGTTGTTGATGGAGATGATTGTTTGTTTGGCTGTTTCTGTTGTTGTTGGAGATAATTGTTTGTTTGGCTGTTTCTGTTGTTGTTGGAGATGATTGTTTGTTTGGCTGTTTCTGTTGTTGATGATTGTTTGTTTGGATGTTTCTGTTGTTGTTGGAGATAATTGTTTGTTTGGATGTTTCTGTTGTTGTTGGAGATGATTGTTTGTTTGGCTGTTTCTGTTGTTGGAGATGATTGTTTGTTTGGATGTTTCTGTTGTTGTTGGAGATAATTGTTTGTTTGGATGTTTCAAGTAGGAGATGATTGTTTGTTTGGATGTTTCAAGTAGGAGATGATTGTTTGTTTGGATGTTTCTGTTAGTTTGGATGTTTCTGTTGTTGGAGATGATTGTTTGTTTGCATGTTTCTGTTGTTGTTGGAGATGATTGTTTGTTTGGCTGTTTCTGTTGTTGTTGGAGATTATTGTTTGTTTGCATGTTTCTGTTGTTGTTGGAGATGATTGTTTGTTTGGCTGTTTCTGTTGTTGTTGGAGATGATTGTTTGTTTGCATGTTTCTGTTGTTGTTGGAGATGATTGTTTGTTTGCATGTTTCTGTTGTTGTTGTTGGAGATGATTGTTTGTTTGGCTGTTTCTGTTGTTGATGATTGTTTGTTTGGATGTTTCTGTTGTTGTTGGAGATAATTGTTTGTTTGGATGTTTCTGTTGTTGTTGGAGATGATTGTTTGTTTGGCTGTTTCTGTTGTTGGAGATGATTGTTTGTTTGTATGTTTCTGTTGTTGTTGGAGATAATTGTTTGTTTGGATGTTTCAAGTAGGAGATGATTGTTTGTTTGGATGTTTCTGTTAGTTTGGATGTTTCTGTTGTTGTTGGAGATGATTGTTTGTTTGCATGTTTCTGTTGTTGTTGGAGATGATTGTTTGTTTGCATGTTTCTGTTGTTGTTGGAGATGATTGTTTGTTTGGCTGTTTCTGTTGTTGTTGGAGATGATTGTTTGTTTGCATGTTTCTGTTGTTGTTGGAGATGATTGTTTGTTTGGCTGTTTCTGTTGTTGTTGGTGTAGGAGAACCCTGGGTACAAAGGAGACCACGCTGAGCCGGCGTCCTCGGTGAGTCTGCTTGTCGACGCCGGCGAGTCTGAGAGCGATAAAGTACATAACTACAGCCACTGAAATACCCATGCAGTAAAAGTAAACAATGCCGAGTACCCCCCCGCTGGAGGACCCACTGTGACCTTTGACCCCTCCTCAGATGGACAGTCGCAGCATCAAGCGCTCCCACGGCGAGAGGATCAAGTACAAGCTGGTGGCGGTGGCTCACGGGAGCGACATCGCCTCGCTATTTGAGCTCGACCCGACGACGCTGCAGAAGACCGACTCGTTCGTGCCGCGGTAGGCACTCCCCCCACTTCCTGTGGATTTTTCACAATAAAATACAGTTTATCATGTTCAAAAATGTTTTTATCCTTCTTATCTTATGAGGGGAGTTTTAAAACGGACCGTTGTCAGCATCCTACAAGAGTCTGATTGTAGCCTTAAGACTGCACACAGCTACCTTCATGCATGCTTTTATTGTGAAACTTTTATGCAAGAAGTCTTGAGTTTCACTGACAGCGACATTCAAAAGATCCAAACTCGATTCGAGTTGTAGGATGAGGAGCTAATAAAGGAAGAATTGCAGCATCTATAGTATGTTAACAGCTGAGGGACACTTCATGAGATAAAAGTACTCCCCCATAGCAGTATTCCTTTAAAAGAGGAACTGAAAACAGCCAATGGGTGAGTATATCGGTAATAGGGACCACCAGGTGGATCAGGTGCATCCAGGCTGACCCGCATGCCGCTTGTCTGCAGGAACTCGTACGTACGGCTGAGACACCTGTGCACCAACACCTGGATCCAGAGCACCAACGTCCCCATCGACATCGACGAGGAGAGGCCCATCAGGCTCATGGTGAGGCCCAAACACAAAGGAAATCACAGCACCGTCTGATTGATGATTTTCTATGGTTTTGGAAACGATGTATAGTACATTAGAGTGTGTGAAGTGTTCCTTAATGCGACCCGCGTAGTTGGGAACGTGTCCCACCAAAGAGGACAAGGAGGCCTTCGCCATCGTCTCCGTCCCTGTGATGGAGATCAGAGATCTGGACTTTGCCAACGACGCCAGCGCCATGCTGAGCACCGTGGTGGAGCAGTTCAGCCAGGGCTTCATCAGCCAGAACGACCGGCGGTACGGCTGTGTGTGTGTCTGGCTTTTTATTATTTTATTATTTCATCTGAATTCCACTCAATTATGGACACAACTTACTATTCATACCCAAACGAGCTTCTTTAGTGGATTTGATTTATTCCCTGTTTAGGTTGAGGTCACATATTTTCTGAAAATACTCGTTCTTCATGATCTAGCTGCTATGGATTGAGCTCAGTTTTTAATTTCCCCTCAAAGGGGCATATCAAACGATTTATAACCGATGGGAGAAATGTGTTCTCCATAATTCTTATATAGATAAATAAAAATATTTCATATTGGTTTGAAATCTTTCTCTGTGATAATCTCTGAAAAACGACCCCCATGTCTTCTTAGAACATACAGATGGTCCTCTGGTCTCATGGAAGACCTGAGGAGGGACTGATATTCTCAGAACGACGAGGAGGAATTAATGGTCACTGTTTCCTGCCGATCAGGTTTGCCATTAAGCTTCTGGAGGACGTGGTGTTCTTCGTAGCCGACGTCATCAATAGCGGTCAGGCGGTCCTGGATGTGGTCATGACCAAAGCCAACCGAGAGAGGCAGAAGCTGATGAGGGAGCAAAACATCCTCAAACAGGTGGGATTTCAGGATTACTCCGGTTTCTAAAGAGAAATCACAGAAACAGCACCAGCAAACACCTGGTTGTGTTTTCAGATCTTTGGCATCCTGAAGGCTCCCTTTAAGGACCGGGGGGGAGGGGAGGGTCCTCTGCTGCGTCTGGAGGAGCTGGCGGACCAGAAGAACTCTCCCTACCAGTACATGTTCAGACTCTGCTACAGAGTCCTGAGACACTCCCAGGAGGACTACCGCAAGAACCAGGTGCGAATGACGGTGACTTCGCTGGTCTGCTACCAGTCTAATCCTTCTCAAAGTGGTTCGGTTCAAAAGAAGCGCCCCAGGGTTCTGTACCAGGACCACTTATCTTTTCTAAATATTACAATTAAATGTATCTGCTAACCTCTCATCTGCATATCAACTCATACACAAAAAGGTCTTTAATGGTCTGTAATTACATTATCTAAACAGTTACATGAGGATGGCTGAGGTTCAATGAACAATGATTGAGGTGTTACCAATGATGAAGGTGAAGTTTGATGAGGATGCTGAAACGAGAATGATGGCGGTGTTGTTACCGCTTGAAGAAGTGAGAAGGTGAGTCCTTCCTCCCCCCCCAGGAGCACATAGCGAAGCAGTTCGGGGTGATGCAGAGTCAGATTGGTTATGACATCCTGGCCGAGGACACCATCACCGCCCTCCTGCACAACAACCGGAAACTGTTGGAGAAGCACATCACCAAGACCGAGGTGGAGACCTTCGTCAGCCTGGTCCGCAAGAACCGAGAGCCCAGGTAGACATGGAGGCCGCGAACGGGGGGAGGAGAGGGGGGGGCATTTTGTTTATTCCTCTCATTTTGCGGTTGTGTGGGTTTGTGCAGGTTTCTCGACTATCTGTCGGACCTTTGTGTGTCCAACAACATCGCCATCCCCGTCACTCAGGAGCTCATCTGCAAGTGTGTATTGGAACCCAAAAACCAGGACATCCTCATCAAGACCGAGTAAGGAGGGAGGGAGGGGGGGAGGGATGAGTCTTGAGTCGTTGTGGCTGTAATTATTTCTGTGGGGTGGAGACAGAAATGACAGACCAGCGTATATCAATGGTTACACAAACTGTTGTCTGGATGGTGTTTTTTAATGTGTAACTACTACTATCTAAATCAGGGGTCTCAACCCCCCCCCCAGAGGAGGGGACCGTACCGTTGGCCGGTCAGACCCCCCCCTTCGACCGCAATGCTCTGGCCCGCGTTCGGTCGAAGTGGGTTACATCTGGCCCGAACCTGCAATGAGTTTGAGACCTCTGATCTAAATGATGCTTTTAAAGTCAACATCTGATCTTTTCACATCACATTTGTGTGTTTTGTTTCATCTAGACGTCGTGTCCCCAAAGATGCGCCCACGGGTGGTGGTCAGGCGGACTACCTGGGGATGGATGACTATGGAGATGAGGACGAGGTAAATGGATGGCAGCAAAGATTGGAGCCGGGGATGTTGTTGATGATGCTGATGATCAGGAACGGAAAAGCAGACTCACAGCTTAAACGCATCAACGATTGATTCTTTGAACTGAAACCTTGCATTCTAGATTTTTCACAATAATTGTCCATTAAGCTCACCTCCTGCACAGAGAAGCTGCCTGGAACAATTTCAGATAAAGATTGACCGCAGAGCATTCAAAGACATTTCTGAAGACATGATCTCCCTGTTGTTGTTAGAGATAACATAGAGAACGTGTTTTTCCGCTTCATCAAATATCAATGGTCATCTAGGTTTTTTTCTTGTCCATCTTCCTTCAGGTGTGGCTGGTGTGGACGGACAAAACCAATGAGAGACAGGAGAAGGGCATCAGACAGCTGGCTCAGGAGGCAAGACAAGGAAATGCCCACGACGAGAACGTCCTCACCTACTACAGGTGGGCACACAGAGGAGGGCCGTGCAACTCACACCAGTAACTCAACTGTAAGTCCACACATGAATGGCGGCAGAAGAAAGCAAAGCTGTCTCTGTGGACAACCTCAGGTACCAGCTGAAGCTCTTTGCGCGAATGTGTCTGGACCGCCAATACCTGGCCATCGATGAGATCTCCAAGCAGCTGGACGTGGAGCTCATCTTCTTGTGCATGATGGACGAGACGCTGCCCTTTGACCTCCGGGCCTCCTTCTGTCGCCTCATGCTCCACGCCCACGTAGACCGAGACCCCCAGGAGCTGGTGACACCTGTCAAGTTTGCCCGCCTCTGGACAGAGATCCCGACCTCCATCACCATCAAAGAGTTGGTAGACTTTGATAATCTGAGTCTGTTGTCTGTAATGGATTCTGAAGCCATCGCTCAGTCGGTAGATTTTCCTTTAACAAGTATTGTTTTACCTTCTACTTCCACAGTTCATTTGCACCTCTACCTCATGTCTGTACTTGAAGCCTGGATAGAGCTTCAGACTTTTAATCTGAGGGTCCAGCATGAGGTTTAGTCAGTTACATTATATTATAAAAAGGTCTCATAAATAGCTGCACTGATTCAAATAAAGTCAATTAAATGTACCTTCTCCTGTTTATTGTCATGTTATCAGTTTCCATAAGGAAGCTTTAGTGTTTATTGTTTAGCTCGTGCAGCAAGTTTCTCCGTTTTTACAAGAAGAAGCTTCAACGAAAAGACATTTTCACATTTAACTGTATGTTAACATCTGTGAGATTTAAATATGTTCATTATTTGTTTGATGTTTGTCCTCCTCAGCTATGACTCCAACATGGACGACAGCAGGGACAACAAGAAAAACCGGTTCTCCAATACAATGGTCTTCATGGAGGAATATCTCAACAACGTCCTGAACGACGAGCTTCCTTTTCACAACGAGGAGAAAAACAAACTTACGTACGAGGTCAGTTGCTGCTCTTCTACGTCCCGTCTCATGTCACTACTTCCTCCGTCCTTTGGTTCCGCTATGTTCTCCTGTTATCACCTGCTTTTCTTCTGCTTCTGTTTCTCCAGGTGGTGAGCTTGGCCAGACATTTGATCTACTTTGGTTTCTACAGTTTCTTCGAGCTGCTCCGACTCACCAGAACCCTGCTGGGCATCATCGACTGTAGACCCCATCCAGGGTACAATGGGCTCTTATTCCATGATGATGGATCAGGTACTCACTGCTCAACCTAAACAAAAAATCCAAAATATTTATGACAAAACATATATTTTTGTCAGTTACCAACTTGGCAGTGTCTTTTCTTTCAAATCTGAAGGGAAGAACGTGAAGCGCTCCATCCATGGGATGGGTCAGATGATGTCCACCATGGTCCTAAACAGGAAGCAGTCCTTATTTGGAGGTGCTGGTGCCAGAGGGGCAGGGGTGGGGGCGGGACTTGCGATTGATGGACAGAGAGGCAGCAAAGATAGCATCGACAAGATGGACCTGACGGTGATGGATACCAAGCTGAAGATACTGGAGATACTACAGGTATTAAAAACCTGTTTGAGGGTTCAAACCTAAATTATTGCTTTAATAATACATGCTGATGCTCTACTTAAGGTATCTTCCACCCTTAGGTCCCCTATTGAACCCAAAAAGACAAATAAAACAGGCTAGAACCGAACTTTCGGGTTCTCAACCTGAACAAATATATGAATGCATATATTTGGTTCAGGTTTGACGCGTTAGAGTCTTGGCTACAATGAGCACACATTAGTTTTAAAATAATCCAAATGTCATTACTGGCGGTAGTGGCGTTAGTGGCGTTAGTGGCGTTCCTGGCGTTAGTGGCTTTAGTGGCGTTAGTGGCGTTAGTGGCGTTCCTGGCGTTAGTGGCGTTACTGGCGTTAGTGGCGTTAGTGGCGTTCCTGGCGTTAGTGGCGTTCCTGGCGTTAGTGGCGTTCCTGGCGTTAGTGGTGTTACTGGCGTTAGTGGCGTTCCTGGCGTTAGTGGTGTTACTGGCGTTAGTGGCGTTCCTGGCGTTAGTGGCAGTACTGGCTTTAGTGGCGTTCCTGGCGTTATGAAACTACAAAATAAACCCAAACCGTAAAGCAAGCCAATCCACTTTTCCATATTAATAAGAGCATTAAAATATAAAAAAAGTGATTAACTGCGATTAATTTTGAGTTAACTGTGACATAAATGCAATTAATCGTGATTAGATATTGTAATCGTTTGACAGCATTCATTTTTACACATCATAGCACTTACAGGGCTTCCCCTTTATCTGACAGAAAATAAATTGTCCAAATAGGTGCAACTACGTGATGTACTGTGCTTGTGATGTACTGTGCTTGTGATGTACTGTGCGTCACATTATTACACTTTTTATCGGTAGCAGAGGCCAAAAACAGCCCACGGGGGGAGAAGGTGGTTAAGTTTTCTCAGGTGAAGCTTTTGCTCAACCAGGAAGTGACATCCTCATAAGAAGCTACGCGAATGCAAAGACAAACAATTGCTTCCTCCGAAAAATACCAGCTTAAGATCAAATAAACTGATGATGAGAGAGCAGAGCATGATACCGAAAGTAAATAGCTGTAAATACTGAAATGAACGTGTGAATTGTGTACAAAAACATTGTGAAAGAGCAGTTATTTTGTTAAAGTAAAATTCTCTTTTGTTTTGTCAAAACTGAATTTCACATCAAAATGTAAAAATGAAAAATTTGTTCCTTTAAAGTTCTGTTGGTAAACGTTAGCTTGTACTTAAACTAACGCTAGCTACACATGTTGCTAAAGGCTCTCAAGATCGGCCAATAATTGGCTTCAAAGGATTTATTTTCTTCAGTCCCCCAATAATTCTCATTTCTGCAGTTGAATATATACGAAGGTTAATGAGCATTCTGCTGCTTGTCAGTTCATCCTGAACGTGCGTCTGGACTACCGGCTCTCCTTTCTGCTGTCGGTGTTCAAGAAAGAGTTCGTGGACGTTTATCCGATGGCCGACGCCGACGCCACCACCAACATGGAGCACGCAGGTACGAGCTTCCTGGTGGCCGTCATCCCGTCCGGGACTGAGTGGCGTAACAGTCGTCTGCTGAAAGAGCTTCGCGCGCAGCCTTTTGTCTCTACAAAGACCATGTCATTTAAAAACATGTTGTGTGTGTGTGTGTGTGTGTGTGTGTGTGCGCACACCCTGCAGAGTTTCTGTGTGTTGTTACTTCCCACGATGCTACAGGGAAGCAACATATAACCCATTTCCTGTGTGTAAATGATTAAAACATCCTGTTGATTGGTTTCGTTCCTCAGCCACCATCAACCTGCAGCACATCGGCGAGCAGGCCGAGGCCATGTTTGGAGTCGGGTACGTGATGCTGTTCACATAATATGTACACATGTAAACATGTGCAGGTGTGGGTATCGACGCGTTGTGTGCGTGTGCACGCAGGAAGGGGAACAGCATCCTGGAGGTGGACGACGAAGGCGGCCGTATGTTCCTGCGGGTGCTGACGCACCTCACCATGCACGACTACCCCCCCCTGGTGTCTGGAGCCCTGCAGCTGCTCTTCAGGCACTTCAGCCAGAGACAGGAAGTGCTGCACACCTTCAAACAGGTACACACACTGAATGCGCACACAATGTGGAGGTTGGGAAAGTCTCCTGTGCTCCGCAGAATGTGAAACAGGAAAGAAGTTGAAGTGTGTCCAGTTAGAGAGAATGTCCACAAGCAGACGTCCAGGCTTCATCATATTAAATCTCATTAAAGTGGTTTTGAAGACGGAACTTCTCTTTATTTGGCCGGATTCAAAATGTCTTTTCATGAGAATGTTCTGGAGATGATCTTCAGGAGAACATCGTTAGCAGTTGTGTTCCTCGTAATGGACCACATGTCCGTGTGAACCTGTGTTTTTTTGTACAGGTGCAGCTGCTGATCTCGGCTCAGGACGTGGAGAACTACAAGCTGATCAAAGCGGATCTGGATCGTCTACGGACGCTGGTTGAGAAGTCTGAGCTGTGGGTGGAGAAGAAGAGCTCGGGTGGAGGAGACGGGAAGAAGGACAAGAAGGACAAAGGACAGGTAGGAAGCGTTGATATAAAAAAAAAGGTCAAATACCTGTTGGAAAATTCCCAAGAAGGAGATTCTTACAAAATGTGTCAAATGACTGAACTGCAAAGGTATTGATTGGCCTCTTTTTATAGAAAGAATTACATGATATGTGTATATATGTATATAAAGCCATAGATACATCTATGGAGATACGACCAGGTAGTACCAAAGGTAAGCCATGGGGTTTCATGTGTAGCTCTTATGTGTCCTGATATATACGGACACAACTGATGTTGAGATGGTTGAGGAGGAGCTGATCATCAGCGTAGAGCTTCAGATGGAGACACAGTTCATAGAGAAGGAGCTTTGTCAGAGTCACAGAGGATAACTAACATAACTATATAAACACACAAACTAACTCATAGTCTCTACTTAAACAAGCACAATAACCATCTGCTGGTTGGAATACTACAATTAATTGAACAAACTGCCACTCGTAAAACAGCCTACTAAACAGACACCCAACATTTCTTTTCCGTCCGGCTTCTTCCCCTGACTACTCGCCGTTGGTGTGGGCTTGGTTACGGTTCTGGGGTCCGATTTGGGCTTTTTGTTGCATGCCACGCTCTGTCTGCACTGTATTTGTTCTGCTAATAAACTACATGCTACTGCCAATAAAGTCCAGTGTGCAGGGATTAGTGACACCTGGTGGTGACTGAATACCTGCTAGCTCCTCCCACTGCCAGTGAGTCAGAGCACCTGTCTGAGGGTCCGTAGGAACACGTGGACTCTGTGGACACGACCTTCCCCCCGTGTAGATCGAGGTGGTTGCTCCTTGAATAGCACCTTTCTGTCAGTGTCCTATTGCATGTGATGTCAATGAGACGTCTCATCCAGGCTTGGGGACATTTTAGCCAGCTGGCAGTTAGCATACTGGCGTCCCGCCTGAAAAGCTCCAACAGGTTTATGTCCTCCACAGTCCCAATAAAGACCGCCGACCCTTCTCCCCGGGCGCCCAGCATCACTTCATCTTTTACTCAAGTGTGTGTAATTTAGTGCCCCCACACAGAGACCTGCATGTGCTGTCTTACCCTCTGCGTCCTGCAGGGGGCATCACAGAAGGCGACGCCCAAGAAGGACATGCAGGAGAAGGGCAACGAGAACTACCAGAAGGTCAAAGAGGTGAGGCGTCCTCCAGGTGCTTTGTCTTGGTTGTGTTTGGTTGTCTTCGGCTCTCCTCTCGCATTGTGGTGTTTCTCTGGTCCAACAGATCACCTGCCAATCAATCCATGGGGGCGGGCCCGCTCTTTTTTGGTTGTTGCTGATGTCTTTTCATAAATGGTGTCTTTCACTGGTCAGAAATAATCAGTCTTATAAAGAAGTGTTTGTTTAGGTTCTAGAGGAAGTATTGACATCAGTACTCAGTCACAAAGTACACAAGTGCTGCCTGTCACTTACAAACAGTCCGACCAGCCGTACAGAACACATCACCCCAACCCTACTAATCAATAGCAATGCCTCATATTTCACAACTCTTCTATACTTTCATGTACAATCTTGATCTACAAAGTAAGTATGTATATATAATTGTTCTGCTTTAAAAATAAATCTTTCTCAGTTTGAGCCAAACGGCTCAATTGAAAGTGAAAATAAGAGAATAAGTTGAAAGGTAATCAGCGTTACTCTCAGTGTGTACGTTGAAGGAAGAGCTTGCTCTCACCGTTCTGCGCCGAGACCGTCGCAACGCCGCCGGGAGAAATGACGGGAAATCCAAAGTTCAGCCAATCGAATCGCTTGTTTGCCTTTCCATTCAAAAGTGACTAATTCCCCATAAAAGTATAATTCTAAGGCCAGTTGTGATTGTACATTTTATATTTGTTTGGTAAATCATAAGAATAAAAATGTTAAAAATGCGTATAATGAAGCACGTTTTGAGATTGAACGTTCAGATGTGATTTCCAACATCTTTGCCTCATATTTTCATTTTCTTACGTTTACGTTTCTTATGAAGATGAAGATTCTAAGTCATCTTCTTTCCATAAAATGCTCTGTTCCTTCTCCATTGCATTTCTGGTTTTAACCACATCAAAATAAACTTGTAGCAAAAAAAAAGAACTATTGGAAAAATATTGTTTTCAGACAGTTGAAAAAGAAAAGAGTCATTGACATAAACATACGTGTGCGTGATGCTGGGTTTGTCTTTATACAGTACATTATTACAGTACATTATAAAAGCATGCAGAGGAGTTACACTTGTTTGCTCTGAATGAACTAAAGTGGGATTTATGGCACAGTTTATTTATCTATTATCAATTATTTCTTGATAACTACTTGTTATTAATTAACAATTACTAATTGTTGTTAAGAATATGAAATAAAATATCTTTCATGCTTAATGACCAACATGGTAAGGAGCCTCTTCTAATTGGCTCTCTTGTGATTGGCCCCGCCCCCTCCGTAGATCCTGGAGCGGCTGAACAAGATGTGCAGCACTGGAGTCTGGAAGAAGCAGCAGAGGCTGCTGAAGAACATGGGGGCCCACAAAGTGATGCTGGACCTGCTGCAGGTGTCCTACGACCTGGTGAGACCGCAGCCCCGCCACAATAAAAGCTTCTATTCGCCATGAAAAATGTCTCTGCTCATCCTTTTTGGAATTTGAATGCTGCTGATTAGCTGTTCGAATTATTATTTTATAGTGCATTAAGTCTAAATGTCAACGTTTATGGCAAAAAGATAAAAAAATTCACAGCTTTTGTCGAATATCTTATTCTTCTTTAATCAGGAATCAGGAAACATTTATTGCCAAAATATGTCAAACATACAAGGAATTTGTCTTGGCGGTTGGTGCGCGACAGTAGACAGTGAAACAATAGACAACAAGACAGCAGTGCACAAGTAATAAAATGAAATGCTAATGCAATTCTTTTCAAAACGTTTGTTAAATCTTGTTCTAGATTAAAAAGCCCCCCCTCTTCTCTGTCTGTCTGCAGAACGACGTGAAGATGCAGGAGATCATCAGGTACACTCATCTGTTCCTGCAGAAGTTCTGCACGGGGAACCAGGAGAACCAGACTCTGCTGCACAAGAACCTGAGCCTCTTCCTGAACCCCGGGGTACGCGGCTCGTGAGACTCTTATTTACTTATTTATCATATTCAGTCCATCGCAGAAGAATCGTCAGCTATTGTTTCCCTTCATCTCATCACATTAATCCGGCTTCAAGTGTCTTTAATTACACAATATGTTACAGTCCTACGACCATCAACTGATCATAATCAAATACTGGAAATGAATCAACGTCACTTTTAATAACTAGTCGATTGTGTTTTTCTGTGTTTGATGATTGTAGATGAACTTTTTCTTAGTTTTAAAACAGGACAAACAATATGAAGACAAATGTGCAAATAAAAGCCCAGAACTCCCGTCCTCTGCTGGTTGAGAAGTTAAAGTTGTACGTCACCATGACAACAGAGCTGAGATGTCACAAAGTGAGTAAGAAACCAGGTGATGGTTCCTCCACCTGCAGCTGCTGGAGGCGGAGACGGTGCAGCACATCTTCTGCAACAACTACCAGCTGTGCAGCGAGATCTCTGAGAGCGTCCTGCAGCACTTCATCCACTGCCTGGCCACGCACGGCCGCCACGTTCAGTACCTCAACTTCCTCCACACCATCATCAAGGCCGAGGGCAAGTACGTGAAGAAGTGTCAGGACATGATCATGACGGAGGTGAGGACGGGGGACGGAGGACAGAATGCTCCGCTGGGTTTCTCCCGGGGTTCCCTCACGCTGCCGCCTCTCCGCAGTTAACCAACGCCGGCGAGGACGTGGTGGTCTTCTACAACGACAAGGCCTCCTTCAACGTGATGCTGGAGCTGATGGCGGAGAGCAGGGAGGGAGTCGGGGACAGCAGCCCGCTGAGGTACGAAGTACACAAAGTACCACACTAGTACAAGTAGAGATTGATATGTCACATGTTACATGCACACACATCGAGTGTGGTATGTAAACGTTCACATATTCCCGTCTCTGCAGGTATCACATCTCTCTGGTGGAGCTCCTGGCAGCCTGCGCTGAGGGGAAGAACGTCTACACGGAGATCAAGTGTACGTCCCTGCTGCCTCTGGAGGACGTGGTCCGAGTGGTGACCCACGAGGACTGCATCACCGAGGTACTTCATCCGCATCCAAGACTCAGAGTTCCAAAGTATTAGTACCAACACGTACTTAAGGAGGCAAAAGAACCCATTACACAGAATATGATGTATGGTTGTATAATAATTACCTCATTGACATCTTCTGTTACAGTTTAAATCGCTTTGATTAAACTAAAATGTCTGTCTTCCTCTACCTGTCCGTCTGTCCCTCGGTCTCCAGGTGAAGGTGGCCTATGTGAACTTTGTGAATCACTGCTATGTGGACACGGAGGTGGAGATGAAGGAGATCTACACGTCCAATCACATCTGGAATCTGTTTGAGGACTTCACCGTGGACATGGCCCGGGTACATTTCTCTGCAGTTTTAACTCTTTTTGACCGTGTCCCTGTGACTTGTAGTGGCCCCCCAGTATTACACTGGAGGTTCAGATCTCACAGAGTGGGGAGGGTCACTCAGCAGAGCGTGATGGGGCACGTTGGCGTTGGGGGGACGTCGTCTTTGGGGCATCAGTTGGTTTACGGGTTCACAGGATTCCTTTTGTCTCTTTCGGCAGGTTTGCAACAAGCGTGAGAAACGTCTGTCTGATCCCATCCTGGAGAAATACATCATCAACGTGGTGTTCGACACCATCAACGCCTTCTTCAGCTCCCCCTTCTCTGAGAACAGCACGTCTCTGCAGGTGGGGGCACCACCATCGTCAGAACAGCACCGTCACATTACACACACATATATATATATATATATATATATATATATATATATATATATATATATGAACACAGTGTGTATTTATATAAATACGTGATCCATCCCTTCCACCCCCCTCAGACTCACCACACCATCGTGACTCACCTGCTCCAGTCCTCTGTACGGGTGCTGGACTGTCCCTGGCTGCGGCATCAGGTGGAGGACAAGTGGAGACCTGCATCAAGACGCTGGCTATGACGGGGAACTGGTGGGACTGAATAGATGTGATTAATTGCTCCTCTACCTTCTCTCTCTCGGTGTAGATGTGATTATTGCTCCTCTACCTTCTCTCTCAGTGTAGATGTGACTATTGCCCCTCTACCTTCTTTTCTTTACAGTGTAGATGTGATTATTGCTCCTCTAACCGTCTCTCTCAGTGTAGATGTGAATTATTGCTCCTCTACCTTCTCTCTCACTGTAGAGGTGATTATTGCTCCTCTACCTTCTCTCTCAGTGTAGATGTGACTATTGCCCCTCTACCTTCTCTCTCACACTGTAGATGTGATTATTGCTCCTCTACCTTCTCTCTCTCAGTGTAGATGTGACTATTGCCCCTCTACCTTCTTTCTTACAGTGTAGATGTGATTATTGCTCCTCTACCTTCTCTCTCTCACTGTAGATATGATTATTGCTCCTCTACCTTCTCTCTCTCAGTGTAGATGTGATTATTGCTCCTCTACCTTCTCTCTTACAGTGTAAATGTGATTATTGCTCCTCTACCTTCTCTCTCTCAGTGTAGATGTGATTATTGCTCCTCTACCTTCTCGCTCACTGTAGATGTGATTATTGCTCCTCTACCTTCTCTCTCTCAGTGTAGATGTGATTATTGCTCCTCTACCTTCTCTCTCTGAGTGTAGGTGTGATTATTGCTCCTCTACCTTCTCTCTCACAGTGTAGATGTGATTATTGCTCCTCTACCGTCTCTCTCAGTGTAGATGTGATTATTGCTCCTCTACCTTCTCTCTCAATATAGATGTGATTATCGCCCCTCTACTCTCTCTCTCAGTGTAGATGTGATTATTGCCCCTCTACCTTCTCTCTCTCAGTGTAGATGTGATTATTGCTCCTCTACCTTCTCTCTCTCAGTGTAGATGTGATTATTGCTCCTCTACCTTCTCTCTCTCAGTGTAGATGTGATTATTGCTCCTCTACCTTCTCTCTCTCAGTGTAGATGTGATTATTGCTCCTCTACCTTCTCTCTCCTAGTGTAGATGTGATTATTGCTCCTCTACCTTCTCGCTCACTGTAGATGTGATTATTGCTCCTCTACCTTCTCTCTCTCAGTGTAGATGTGATTATTGCTCCTCTACCTTCTCTCTCTCAGTGTAGATGTGATTATTGCCCCTCTACCTTCTCTCTCTCACTGTAGATATGATTATTGCTCCTCTACCTTCTCTCTCACTGTAGATGTGATTATTGTTCGTCATGTGTGCTCCTCCAGCTAAGAGTCGCTCCATCTCTCTTCCTCTGGACCTGGAGGCTCAGATCAGCATCATGTTGTCTAGCCCCGCCCTCAACTCTCTGTCCCGCTCTAACCCCAACTACAAGTCCCCCTCGCGGTCGTCCCGGCCCGTCGCCCCCAGCAACCCCTGGGACTACAAGAACATCATCGAGAAGCTGCAGGTAAGCCAGTGTTATTATTATTATTATTATTATCATTGCAGCAAGAACCTTCCCAAGTGATAAAACTCATCGATCACTTACAGGGGTACGTTTTCTTATTGTTTGACTCGGTACATTCAACCAGCCAATTAAGGTCAACGATCTGCATGTTTCTGGGACACCCTATCAAATAACATCAAGCAGAATAATCCACATTCAAAATAAAACCGAAACAAATAAAAATAAATTTATTTTCTATCATCATAGAAACAACTTTTTGAAACAACAAGTTGATTCAAAGATATTCAAATGAACGTTTTATGTTAATATTGAGCTTTATTGGTTATGTACTAGTGGAACTTTAGATTTAAAGTTCCATTATTTACAGGCTCCGTCTGTCTGTCTCTCCTCAGGACATCATCAACACCTTGGAGGAGCGTCTGAAGCCTCTGGTGAACGCCGAGCTGTCGGTGCTGGTGGACGTCCTCCACCAGCCGGAGCTTCTCTTCCAGGAGGGAACCGATGCCCGGCAGCGCTGCGAGTCGGGGGGCTTCATCTCCAAGTGCGTCCAGGTCCTCCGGGTCCAAACATCTCGAGGTCTTCTGAGGCACGCATGGGCAGAGGGCTGACGATGTGCTCTTTGTGTGTTTCGGCAGGCTGATCCAACACACCAAAGCACTGATGAGTGCAGAGGAGAAGTTGTGCATCAAAGTTCTGAGAACTCTGCAGGAGATGCTGATCAGGACTCTGGACTTTGATGAGAAGGTCAGCTGACTTACTAAGATACTTGTAGCAGCATCTTGGGTTTTTGTTCCGACAAACAGAGAACGTTTGTTTCTGTTCAGCCTCCAATGATCTCATAGTTTACAAGAACACAGCGTGTCCTGTGCTTCCAGGGAATCTCGCTGCTGAAAGGTGCTGCTGCAGATCTACTTGTTCCCGAACAAGAAGAACCACGTGAAGACGGAGCTGGCCGAGCTAGGGAGCCCGCGGGTACGATCTCCTCAGTGCGACCGGCCGCCATCTCTAACTCATGATCAGACAGACAGACAGACAGTCAGACAGACAGTCAGACAGACAGACAGACAGTCAGACAAACAGACAGACAGACAAACAGACAAACAGACAAACAGACAAACAGACAAACAGACAAACAGACAGACAGACAGACAGACAGACAGACAGACAGAACTAGAGTTTGCTGGTCAACACGAGCAGGGATACTGAGCAGTCACCACGTAGGAGAGAACAGGCCGGTCGGTCTGCACGCTGTGGTGGAACCAGCTGTGTAGGAACAATGGCCTCTTGACCGTAATAATATTTCATTAATTAAATTATCAGTTGAATTACAAAATGATCAAATGTATTGTTGTAGACGTACGTTAATAAACTGTATTCAGTGTTTGTTAATGATTTTCATAGTAAAACATTTATAAACACGACCAGAAACAAAACAAATACAGATGCTTTAAAAAAGTAATAACTATTTATCTCCTTCATCTTTTTAAACTTTCTTCTTCTATCGCTTTCTTTGAGCTCCAGTAAATATTTTCTTCACTCTAAAAGTAATGTGACTTGTGTTTATTATCAGAATGTCACAGCATCATATAAGTGAATAAATACTAGCAACATATTTCATACCAGAACAATAGAGTTATTTAATCATAACTAATAAAGAGGTGTTATGTAATAATAATAATGCTGCTTCTCTTTTAGTTCACACAGAAAACTGAACTTTACGCTGAAGATTCAGGGTTGAATGATACTTTTGATGCTTCAATATGCTAATGAGGCTCAGTCCAGCAGTGACTTTTGGAGCCAGATGCAGGACGCTGAGGAGAGGATGAGGACCAGTGACTGCTGGCTTGTCCGGCCCTCATCGTCCTCATGTGGCGTTGTGTCGTTGATCAGGCGGCGAGCAGGAGCGGGACTGGGCGGCCGTGGCCTCCGTTCAGTGTCGCCTGGACAGAGAAGGAGGAACCAAACTCTTCACCGACCTGGTCATGAGCTCCAAGAACGACAAGATCTTCCAGGAGAGCATCCAGCTGGCCATCTGTCTGCTGGAGGGGGGGAACACGGAGATACAGGTGAGACTCCGCCCCCTCCCCACCCGAAGCTCCGCCCTGACCCCGCTAACCTCGACACTAACGCCCTCCCGCAGAACTCCTTCTATAAGCTGATGATGGGAGACAACAAGTCGGAGAAGTTCTTCAAAGTTCTCCACGAGCGGATGAAGGAGGCGCAGACGGACATCAAAGCCACGGTGTCGGTTAACGTGGGCGAGATGACGCACAAGGCCAGCGAGAAGGACCTGGAGCCCGGTGAGACAGGTCATACGATGTACCTGTTCTCATCGACGTCGGCTTTTATTCTTTCACCTTCTACTTATACTTTGTATTGCTCGTGTATGCGTTCAAGCAGGCGTTTTTATTTGTATTGTATTGTATTCACTTCATCAGCACTTCCTTTAAAAGTAGCTTGAGCTGTTTTTATTTTCCATCTGTCTGAAAATCCTCTGCTTAGTTTGTGTTTTGCTTTGTGAATGTTTTATTTTGAAAACCCGGATGAAGGCATCCTTTCAATATGCGATTTTATTGATCTGATCTGACTTCCTGAGGAATAGACCTTAGAGGTCAGAGTCGTCTGAAGGTGATGATGTAAACACTCTGATCAGGTGGCTCGGCGGCCCTGGTGCTTCCTGGGACAGGAAGTCACCCGTTGTTGGCCCAGTCCATCGCCCCGGTGGCCTCCGCCCTGCCCGTCCCGCCGGCGGTGGAGCAGCGGGAGGTGGAGATGGAGATGGGGCCGGCCGTGACCATCATGAAGCCCATCCTGAGGTTCCTCCAGCTGCTCTGCGAGAACCACAACCACGACCTGCAGGTCAGTAGCTTAGCTTAGCATAGACAAGGAAATGTTTTGAGACCAACCGACGTGTTAAAACGACACGTAAACTACCCATAATTCAGTGGGATTGTAGATGATTCTGATCCATAAATCTGCAGTAAGACACTAATAGAGTCACTCTGCTTCCAGAACTTCCTGCGATGTCAGAACAACAAAACCAACTACAACCTGGTGTGCGAGACGCTTCAGTTTCTGGACATCATGTGTGGGAGCACCACCGGGGGCCTGGGCCTGCTGGGCCTCTACATCAACGAATCAAACGTCCACCTGATCACTCAGACCCTGGAGACGCTCACCGAGTACTGCCAGGGCCCGTGCCAGGAGAACCAGGTAGACCGGAGGACCGGTGCATCGCAGGGAGTCACCGACCCGCCGTGAACAACACGCTCAGTCCGTGTGTGTGTGTGTGTGTGTGTGTGTGTGTGTGTGTGTGTCCGTGTGTGTGCGTGTGTGTGTTGCAGACCTGCATCGTGACCCACGAGTCCAACGGCATCGACATCATCACAGCGCTGATCCTGAATGACATCAGTCCTCTGTGTCGGTACCGGATGGAGATGGTGCTCCAGCTGAAGGTGCGTTGCTCCACCTGCGCGCGGTGAGGTCGTACCGGTCCACCAGGGGGCGACTCCTCTGGACCCATAAAGTTAATTTAGTAAACGAAGGTACATTTAAAGTCAAACAGTCTAAAAGACCATAAATTAGAGGATGCTTTAGGGCGGGGCTACTATGATTGACAGGTCTCTACCCAAGAGGTGTAAAGCATCTCAACGTCCTCCTCAGTCCATATATGGTCATAATAAAAAGTTAATCGGATGATGTCATTGTCAGCCTGTTGTTTGATTGGCCGTTCCCTTTCCGGTTGCCAGGACAACGCCTCCAAGCTGCTGTTGGCTCTGATGGAGAGTCGCCATGACAGCGAGAACGCGGAGAGGATCCTGTTCAACCTCCGACCTCGAGAGCTGGTCAGATCCCTTCCCAACAGATGAAGTGTGTGTGAGTGCTCAGATATTGAGTGTGTGTGTGTGTGTGTGTGTTTGTGTGTGTGCGTGCAGGTGGAGGTGATAAAGAAGGCCTACCAACAGGACAGTGAGTGTGAGGGGGGGGAGGTTTCTCCCCGCGAGGTGGGACACAACATCTACATCCTGGCTCAGCAGGTGACCAAACACAGGCTCCTCATTGGCTGACAAGAGGTCTCACTCTCCTCCTGCTTGTGTGAATCGCTTTTCTCTCCCGTTTGTTTGTTTGTTTACAGCTGGCCAGACACAACAAGCTCCTCCAGAACCTCCTGAAACCTCAAAAGAACAGTAAAGAGGGAGAGGAGGGAATCTCCTCCATGGTAAAGCCTCCATCCACCCGCCCAGCGGTCCATTCATCCATTCATTCATTCATGCATTCATCCATCCATTCATCATTCATCCATTCATCATTCAATCATCTGCCCTTCTGCTCAATCATCCCCTCTTCCTTTCATCCAGAAATAAATCCATCCATCCGCCCACGTGTTCGTCCATTCATCCATTTATCTTTGTGAATTTGTTTGTGTTTTTTCTGTCTTCAGTTGAACAACCTGAACAACCGTCCTCTGTCCCAGATGTTGAAGTCTTCGACTCCAGCTGCTGTGGTGGAACAGGACCCTCTGGAGTACTACGACTTGCTCACCTCACAGATAGAGGTACTAGTACTGGTAGTTCTTAATATTAATACTCACTACTACTTAACTTCAACCTCATAGTCATTGTTCTTACAAAGCAGGCGTGTTGGTGCTAGATACCCTTAAGGAACGCGTATTGCAACATAATATTGATGTAACTGGTAGTAACGGTCAGTCACAGGTAGTCACAGGTAGTAACAAAGGCGTCATGAAGTAACACCTGAGCACGTCTCCAGATCGTCCGTGACGACCGCAGCATGGAGCAGATCGTGTTTCCGGTTCATCCCATCTGTGAGTTCCTCACCGAGGAGTCGAAGACCAGAGTGTTCAACACCACCGAGCAGGACGAGCAGGGGTCAAAGGTCACGCACTTCTTTGAGCAGACCTCCTTCCTGCACGGGGAGATGGAGTGGCAGAAGAAGCTGAGGAGTGAGCATAGGCACACACACAGACACACACACACACACACACAAAGACACACACAACAATGGTGTATTCTTTTTCCACGATCAGCTGATGAAAGACCAGTAAACACAACTGGTGTGTCCCCTTAAATGTGTGTGTGTGTGTGTGTGGTGTGTGTGTGTGTGTGTGTGTGTGTGTGGTGTGTGTGTGTGTGTGTGTGTGTGGTGTGTGTGTGTGTGGTGTGTATGTGTGTGTGTGTATGTGTGTGTGGTGTGTGTGGTGTGTATGTGTGTGTGTGTGTGTGTGGTGTGTGTGTGTGTGTGGTGTGTGTGTGTGTGTGTGTGTGGTGTGTGTGTGTGTGTGTGGTGTGTGTGGTGTGTGTGTGTGTGTGTGTGTGTGTGGCACAGGTATGCCGGTGTTGTACTGGTTCTCAGGCAGGATGTCTCTGTGGGGAACCATCTCCTTCAACCTCGCTGTCTTCATCAACCTCATCATCGCCTTCTTCTACCCCTACGCTTCAGGACAAGGTACCGCGGGTACTACGAGTACTACGAGTACTACGATACTGAAAACCTGCTGCTACACAGAAAGCCTGAAATAATAACAAAGGATACTTTTACTGCCGTATTTACGCCCCCTGCTTTATGTTGCGTGCCATAACAACACATGGAACCGTGTGAATAATCTGTGTTCAGTATGTTGCAGCTTGAGAGTAAATGAATCACAAGTGAAAACGTTTCAGGTTTGCCTGAAATGAAAAGCCCTGAGGAGGATTATCTGATCTGATGTTGTTATGGATCTAAATCTCTAGCACATCACAGCACAACATGAGCCAGAGATCGTTTTAGTACAGACATTTCAGGCGAGATCTCCGGGATTTAGTTGTTTGTTCTGTTTCGTAGTCCTGAAAGTGAGATTGACAGCCCTGTCAGCAGGGTGCTGATCAACGTGAGCTCTTAGAACCACCGGACTGGTGAAGTCGCGTCTTTTAGCACGTTGTATTTTTGAAGCATAAACACTTTTCAGCGATGTGTGAATGTCTCTGGAAGCGCAGTCAGTTAGTGCAGTAAAACTACTGGGTACTACTACCACAGTACAGTCTGGGCCCACCACTGGACTCATACCCCCCAGTGGGGCGCCATTCGATGGACTCCCTGGCTGCTGATGCTGTTTCTGGGATCCTGGCGGGCCTCTCGGTCCTGGGTCTGTTCTCCCAGCGGTACGGCCTGCAGCCTCTCACCATCGCTCTGATCCTCCGCTCCATCTACCACCTCGGCATCGGCAACACGCTCATCCTGCTGGGCTCCCTCAACGTGAGCAGGACTCCATTACCCAGCAGCCACCGGGGCAGCCTCTGCAATGCAGTAGAACGTACTGCATGTACCTCTGAGATGTAGAGCAGTAGAACGTACTACATGTACCTCTGAGATGTAGAGCAGTAGAATGTACTACATGTACCTCTGAGATGTAGAGCAGTAGAATGTACTACATGTACCTCTGAGATGTAGAGCAGTAGAACGTACTACATGTACCTCTGAGATGTAGAGCAGTAGAATGTACTACATGTACCTCTGAGATGTAGAGCAGTAGAACGTACTACATGTACCTCTGAGATGTAGAGCAGTAGAATGTACTACATGTACCTCTGAGATGTAGAGCAGTAGAACGTACTACATGTACCTCTGAGATGTAGAGCAGTAGAATGTACTACATGTACCTCTGAGATGTAGAGCAGTAGAATGTACTACATGTACCTCTGAGATGTAGAGCAGTAGAACGTACTACATGTACCTCTGAGATGTAGAGCAGTAGAATGTACTACATGTACCTCTGAGATGTAGAGCAGTAGAATGTACTACATGTACCTCTGAGATGTAGAGCAGTAGAATGTACTACATGTACCTCTGAGATGCAGAGCAGTAGAATGTACTACATGTACCTCTGAGATGTGGAGCAGTAGAATGTACTACATGTACCTCTGAGATGTGGAGCAGTAGAATGTACTACATGTACCGCTGAGATGTAGAGCAGTAGAATGTACTACATGTACCGCTGAGATGTAGAGCAGTAGAATGTACTACATGTACCTCTGATATGTAGAGCAGTAGAATGTACTACATGTACCTCTGAGATGAAGTAGCACAACATGGAAATACTATAAATTTCAAATAATAAAAATGCCATGTTCTTGAGTAAATGTACTTGGTAACATTCCACCAATGCTGAGAAGTCCTCATCACCCTGTCTTCTCCTCTTGTCTCGTCACCCTGTCTTCTCCTCTTGTCTCATCACCCTGTCTTCTCTTGTCTCATCACCCTGTCTTCTCCTCTTGTCTCATCACCCTGTCTTCTCCTCTTGTCTCATCACCCTGTTTTCTCCTCTTGTCTCATCACCCTGTCCTGTTCTCTTGTCTCGTCACCCTGTCTTCTCCTCTTGTCTCATCACCCTGTCTTCTCCTCTTGTCTCGTCACCCTGTCTTCTCCTCTTGTCTCATCACCCTGTCTTCTCCTCTTGTCTCGTCACCCTGTCTTCTCCTCTTGTCTCGTCACCCTGTCTTCTTCTCTTGTCTCGTCACCCTGTCTTCTCCTCCTGTCCCCCCCAGCTGATCAACAAGGTGGTGTTTGTGGTGAGCTTTGTGGGAAACAACGGGACGTTTATTATGGGATACAAAGCCATGGTGATGGACGTGGAGTTCATCTACCACCTGGCCTACGTCCTCACCTCCACCCTGGGACTGTTTGTCCATGAGCTCTTCTACAGTATCCTGGTAAGAGTCCCCCACCTGTCCTCACCTGTACTCACCCACCTCACCTGCCCCTCACCTATCCCCCACCCGTCTGTGTCTCACCTGTCCCCCCAGCTGTTTGACCTCATCTACCGGGAGGAGACCCTGTTCAACGTGATAAAGAGCGTGACCCGTAACGGGCGCTCCATCCTGCTGACGGCCCTGCTGGCGCTCATCCTGGTCTACCTCTTCTCCATCGTGGGCTTCCTGTGTCTGAAGGACGACTTCATCATGGAGGTGGATCCGCTGCTCCAGCTGGCTGCAGGTGGTTGACCTTTCACCCCTTACCTCTGCTCTCAGGACAGATCACGGCCCTCTGAGCCCACAAATATTACACCGGTGTATTAGAATAAAACAATATACTTAACAGGATTCGATTTATGTAACAGCAGCATTATATTACAAACAACAGAAATAGAAAATGTGATTTACCTTTGACCCCTGAACCCTTTAAATCAGGTCATTGGGTTGAAATGTGTAACTATTGATGTTCATGGGAACATGATTCGTTCTTTATGGTCTTCGGGACATAAACAAGTTGTCAAAATGAATGAAGTGATTTTATTGTTTTATTCAGTGATAATATTATGTCCCTGTAACGCTCTCTATTCATCTGGGTTTGTCTTTTAAAACTTGTGTGTGTCTCTCTGTGTGTCTCCAGATTCTCAGCAGAGTGAGGCCTCTCAGGACTTCCTCAAGTCGTGCTCTGCAGACGGAGTCAGCTGTTCCTCGGAAGCCGTTGCCGAGGAGGAAGGTGAGAGTCTCCTCAGTAACCAGGTGCGACCCTCACGTCGTTGCCGCGGCAACGTGATCGCCACGTGTGCGTTGTCTTGTGCGTTTCAGCGGAGCCGGACGCGGAGCGAGCGTGCGACACCCTGCTGATGTGCATCGTCACCGTGCTGAACCACGGGCTGAGGAACGGGGGGGGGGTCGGAGACGTGCTGCGCAAACCCTCCAAGAACGTAAGGACACACACACACACACACACACACACACACAATGACTATTCTTGCAAGAAGAGCAACAAAGTGGGTGGAGCCAGAACACCGATGTTGGACGTCTCCTTATTCCCCCGACCCCCCCGACCCCCCCTCACAAAAGATCCCCTCAGGGTCTCTGGTTTACTGGATTAAATCCAAAGCAGGAAGTAGAAACCCGCCGTATTTCCCTTTCAAAGTCCGATATTATGTGTGTGTGTGTGTGCGTGTGTGCGTGTGCATGTGCGTGCATGTGTGTGTGTGTGTCTGTGTGTGTGTGTCTGTGTGTGTAGGAGCCGTTGTTTGCGGCGCGCGTCGTGTACGACCTGCTCTTCTACTTCATCGTCATCATCATCGTCCTCAACCTGATCTTCGGCGTCATCATCGACACGTTCGCAGACCTGAGGAGCGAAAAGCAGAAGAAGGAGGAGGTGCTGAAGACCACATGCTTCATCTGCGGTGGGTTGTTAACATCTGGAGGTCCAGTGGTGGTCTGGTTGTTAACATCTGGAGGCCCAGTGGTGGTCTGGTTGTTAACATCTGGAGCCCCAGTGGTGGTCTGGTTGTTAACATCTGGAGGTCCAGAAAGTTGACCCTGTGGCTTAATTGTCCCTCAGGTCTGGAGAGAGACAAGTTTGACAACAAGACTGTGTCCTTTGAGGAGCACATCAAGCTGGAGCACAACATCTGGAACTACCTGTACTTCATCGTCCTGGTGCGCGAGAAGAACAAGACGGACTACACCGGACCCGAGAGCTACGTGGCCCACATGATCAAAGTAAAGCGGCCGCCGTCCAATAGGAACGCTGGAGACGCTTCTTCTTCTCCTTCATCGCCTCCTTCCTGTCCTTCTGTCTCAGAACAACAACCTGGACTGGTTCCCTCGGATGCAGGCGATGTCTCTGGTGGTAACCGATGGCGACGGGGAGCAGAACGAGATGAGGATGCTGCAGGACAAGCTGGCGTCGACGATGAAGGTGGTGATCACGCTGACCACCCAGCTGACGGAGCTGAAGGAGCAGGTACACACACACACACACACACACACACACACGTACCTCTTTCATGTTTTTATTTTTGTAATTCTTTACAACATAAACTTTATTTCAGAGCATATTATATTTGTTTGTGTATAAAACCGATGTACATTTACACGTCCGTGTGTATAAGCGCTCTCTCTGTACTGCAGATGACCGAGCAGAGGAAGAGGAGGCAGAGGATGGGATTCGCTGACCACCAATCAGGAGCCGGCGCCGCGCTGCCGCCGAGCGCCGCGGGGGGGAACCACCAGATGTACAAATCATAAACCACATGCAGAGAATATCGTCAAAACACACCTGTTAGCTTTAGCTTTAGCTCCGGATGTGTAAATACATTAATATACATATATACATATATGTATTGTTATGTATGTAAGTGATGTATTTATGGAGAGAGTGTGTGTTTTAACACTAGCTAGCTCAGTTCAGACACTGGATTATACTCAAATACTCTTCACTGTATCTCATCAGGAAGCACAAGGTGAAGATCATGCGTCTTCGTAACAATGACATATTAAAGTGCATACACTTTTTTGTTTGTGGTTTTGTTGGAGTTGGTTGGAACCGGTTATTAAATATGTATTAATTCCATCAGAACTATGCTTTACACAACGTACTTTCCATATGTACTTTCTACTGCACTGTGACCAGACTCTTCATGATTTTGTGTTTTCTTTGGCAGATGCTCACTAAAAAGTCAGAATACAAATCATATTATAGTCCGTCAGAAAAAGACAACTATCATACATGTTTTGTAGTATTTTTCACAAGAAACCTCAAAAATAATATTGTAGATATATATATATATATATATATATATATATATATATATATATAAAATTACAGCCAAACAATGTAACATTTAATTCTGCAGCGTGTGAAATATGAGCACTGATGAAGACCTCTGAAGACGAAGGGACGGTTGGACATGGGGGACATCATGCAAATGAAGAATTCTTTCAGTATTTCATGTTCATTCATATTAGTTCATATTAGTTTGTTTCTTTTCCTATTTTCTTACTTTTTTTTTCTTACTCTCATTTTGTATCCAAGCACTAACTGGGCCCCGTGGGGGCAGGAGGTGGACGAGGAAATGCTCTTTGCAGCCGTGACCAGACGTAGACAGCTGGGCAGGAGGGTTTCTGTCAGGGGAGTGAAGAAGAGTATGAGGGGGACATAAAGGGGCAGGGAAGTAAAAATCAATGAGATCTCGTGAAAAACTAACAAGACAATAATGAGAGTTTGGAAAGTGAGAGAGCAACGAGAAGAACCTGGTAAATGTTTGCTCACAGAAAATCAGCTCTGTCAAACAAATGATAAGTTACGCAAAGGTCCTGCAGCGCCAACGAGGAACAACCTGAGGAAGACATGAAGGTGGGAGCACAGGGAGGGTGGATGTGGTGATCCTCATCCAGCAAGAGGAGTGTTGGTCAGGTGGTCTGGGAGAGTGGGGGGACTTTGGTCTGTGGTTTACCCGGTGGGGGCCCCATGGACACGCATCATGTAAAGGAAGTGTGTAGGGATCACACGCAGGATAAAGGACCAGGAATTAACAGGAGAACATCTGGTACTCTGGGGGTCTACACGGTGGAGACGGGGGCAGTGCTGGTTGCACTACGACGGGTGGAAAAGGGGTTGATTTGCTCAGACGCGTCCTTTCAGTCGACAGGAGACACTGTACGAAGTCCTTCAGTCAGTCAGGTGGACTTCCTGTGGGTTCCAGCACATGTTGGGGTGAGTGGGAATGAGGAGGCGGGTGAGCTGGCTGACATTAGTGAGGCAGACGTCAAGAGTATTAACTGGGAAAATATCAATAAAACGTGGCCAGCGAGGTGGGACATATATGACTGTAACTTACTCAATCGATAGATGCAGAGCAGAAAGGTCATAAAGTGGTGTGGAAACACTAACAGTGTTGAGGAACCCGTCCTTGACCCTCTAGCAGAACTACGACCAGCCATTATAAAGCAGTTTATAGTTGTTAATGTTGTGTCAAAGGGTACGGCATTTAAACATGTTCTTGCACAAGTTTCCTGGCTTCATCCCCACCCGGACAGACATTTTTATGGAAAGCCAATAGAAGTTTGGGGCTTGCAGGGAACAGACACGTCATACAGCATCATTTCTGCCAGTTGAGCGCATTGCTAGAAGATGTGTGGTTAATACATCCTCTGTGCATTTAAGCAAGACCAAAGAAAAGGTCACTGTAGTCCTGCCACTATGCACTGTAGTTGAGCTCTAGCAGACTGTGATCTCTGCAGACCCCTCATGCTGATTCAAATGTTGTTTGCATGGAATGCTCATTTTACCTTGATTAAAACTCATTTTTTAAAGAAGTTATTTTGTGTAGTTTTCGGCGTTGCCCGCAAATTGCGGCAAACGTGAAATTCCACGACAATTTACAGTCCCGCATACTGCCAAAAATCCCACTTTTCATGCATGCAGGGAAGAGAAAGGGAGACAATTCAATTACATCGCCGTTAATGGGCTAACAAACTGTTGTGACGAGGTTGGGCTGCTCATTGTGCACTAAATGAAACAGTCAACAGGAAGAGGAAACACCAGACAGGGTTGTGTGAAGGTTGTGGAGGAGAGGAGCCAGTGGTGATGAGGAGAAGTCTGAGGGAGGAACTCTGAAAGGAGCTCTGACCATGGGGAGCACAGCTTATTAGAAACAAATATACGACCCGGTTCATTAAATTCATAAAATGCATATAGTGTACACCAGAATACAGCCATGATTCTGAAACTGTAATCCATAAAGTAATGACAATATTGTAAAACCAGTGTAAATCTGCAACTGTAATAGAATAATACCAATGCAGTTATGATTGTATTTGATGTAATGTGATCAACTGGAATGCATGCATGTAATACTTAAACAACAACTGATATTGACTAAGGATCATTCGAAATCCGAGTCACATTGAACTCACAGAAGACTCCCAGAGGTGTGGACACTAACTTTCACACCTTTAAGCATTGTTATAAATACCTGTAGGAACCATTGTTCTGGAGTTCACTGGTGGAGGCGACAGACGGGCACTAGGGATGGTCAAAGGACTGACCTGGGGCCTGTTGGTCGCTGAGACCAGCGGCTCCTCAGCTGAGATGTTCTTTTTACCACAACGCCATCTCCTTTATTAAATACATTTGATTTAACCTTTAGATCAGCGATGACCTCTGTCCGTCCGGCGTTTCTTCATTTCTGAATACAACAGTACTGTTGGCACTTATATGGTATGATCGGGGTACAGGGGGCATTTATTTGTATTTTATTTGATTTATTTCCCTTTGGATTGTTTGGTTTGTTTTGGGGTAAAGAGGGTTGGGGTTTTGTCTGGTCCACATTCCGGAGCAGAAGGCGGCGGTAAGGCACCAATAAGATGGATGCCAACCGCCGAAAAACCACCAAACGAAGAAGAAGAAGAAGAAGAAGAAGAAGAAGAAGAGGAAGAAGAAGAAGAAGAAGAAGAAGAAGACGACGAGGAGAGAGGAAGTCAGCAGAGATTCATTCTAACAACTTAAAGTCTTCATAAACCTGTGAGTACGTCCCGCCACAACAAGCGCGCGTGTGTGTGTACGCGTGCGTGTGTTAACGGGCCGTGAACCTTCTCAAAGTTCTTTTCACCGTTGAACAAACACGGAAGTAGTTTATTTCCTTTTGTAGTTTTTTACAAAATCGAGAACACGACGGGTTTTTATCTTTAGTGTCTTTTCTTAAGTATTTCTTAAGTGGCTGTGACGTCATGGTTTAACCGTCAGAAAGGTGTAGCTGTGACGTCACGGTTTAACCGTCAGAAAGGTGTATCGGTCCAGATGTTTGAGGCTCTTTCGCAATAAACCGTCATGAATCACGGCGACGGAGAACCGGTCACTTCCGTGATTGGAACGACACACAGACACACACACACAGACAGACACACACACACACACACACAGACAGACACACACACACACACACACAGACAGACACACACACACACACACACACACACACACACACACACACAGACAGACAGACATGGTGTTGTAGCTTCTGTTGATTTGTGTCGATCTGGTTGGTTTTGTTGGAGGTTAAACGTGTTTCTGTGCGTGTGTGTACTGTGTGTGTACTGTGTGTAGTGTGTGTGTACTGTGTGTGTACTGTGTGTGTACTGTGATTTCCTTGCTCTTAATGAGTGAATATCAATTATGAGTTCATAGTTTGCTTATTAGTCCCTGTTAGGGTGGTGCCCTGTTATTTATTTATTTAGTCAATTATCTTCGTTGTTATTAATACTTGTATTGATGTCAATGATTTAATTTCACACTAGCTGTTAACCAACACGTTACCTCACAGTCTACAGACAACAACACACAGTGTCCCATGAGGTGGATGAGCTCTGTGTGTTTGTCCTGATGAAGATAATAACGTGTGAGTTCTCCCAGCAGGTGGTTGTGAAGCTGTGGACTCTGGTATGAATCAGGCTGAGGACCCAGAGGACGGAGTCCGTCCCTCTGAAGCTCCTCTGTGTGGGGAACATGACAGCCAGACCAAAGCTCAGAGGTGAGAGGACCATCTCCAACTGTCCTCCACCCGTCTCCATGTCCCAACGTCTCTGACTCACTGACTCTGTGTCAACAGGACCCATCAGAGACTAGGACCTGGACCTGGTTTAGGATCTGGACCTGGACCCAGCTGTGTGTCCACGAAGAGTAACCGGTCTATGAGTCCTCCTCTACTCTTCAAAGATGTTCGTCCCTCTGTTGATGCAAGGTGAGGGTCTCAGGCTGATGATGAGGTGTTTCTACCAGACTCTCTGGTGGAGGTTCTGGGTTTCTTGCTCCAGGGCCCTTCAGCAGTGTCCAGTGAGGTAGGGAGAGCTCCATGGAGGACTTGGTGGGACCTGTTGGGACTAAACCAAACTGACTGGTGAAGAAAACAGTGAGCTGAAAGACTGAGCTGTTGGCTGAACCACTACAGGGAGTCATGTGGTCCACATCCAGACCTCACGTCATGGACCTTTACCTTGTTTTGGTCTCTGTGAGGACGGACACCATGTGAGCTGATGCTTCGTGGTTAAATGATGATGTGATGATGTAATCTCAGTGTTTCTTTTAGGTCACATCAGCAGAGAGGAAAGTCTCCTGAACCCAGATGTTTGTCCATAAAGAGTGATCAGTCAATGGGTCATCCTCTGGTCTTCAAAGATGATCAGTCAATGGGTCATCCTCTATTCTTCAAAGATGATCAGTCTATGGGTCATCCTCTGGTCTTCAAAGATGATCAGTCAATGGGTCATCCTCTGGTCTTCAAAGATGATCAGTCTATGGGTCATCCTCTGGTCTTCAAAGATGATCAGTCTATGGGTCATCCTCTAGCCTTCAAAGATGATCAGTCTATGGGTCATCCTCTGGTCTTCAAAGATGATCAGTCTATGGGTCATCCTCTAGCCTTCAAAGATGGACGGCGTTCTTATGACACAGAGTAAGTTCTCAAACAGATGAAGATTTTTTTTTAACTCTTTATTTTGTTGTCAACAACGTGCGTTTTCAGACAGTCACTTTCTGTGTCCATTTTACAGTTGTATGTAGTCTTGGTACACATGCTATTCAGCTGTTCTGTACAAAGCACCAAAAGAACAAATGGTGGTCACTCCAACAGAAAGGGGAAAATAAAAACAAAGAAATAAAATCAAGGGATGAATAAATAATAGTTGTCCACTCCTGAATGTAGTATTGTAGGTGCCGTATATACGCACAAGAGGTTAGTGTATCACAAATTAGCAGGTCACAATTCAGCTGGAGGGCCGAGCAACATACGGTAATAACCCTCATTGTATCAGTAATGCTGAGACAGGGCCCCATCGTTTTGTAAAGATAGGCTTTTGGAGCCGTAATGAATATGTTATTTGTTCCATTTGATAGATGTCTCATACCTTTTGGATCCATATATTAGTACGTAGGGGGATCCAGCTGTAACCATCTGAGAGTTCTACCCATTAGTGCTGCTGTGAGCAGTATGTTTAGAAGGTATTGCTCCCCATAGTGCTACGGAGGGGTCCTGTTGGAATATCTCTTTGAGGGCATCAAAGACCTCCCTCCAGTAAGCACTTAACTTATGGCACAGCCAGAATATATGTGTGTGATTGGCAGCATGTGTTCCACGCTTCCACCAGCACGAGTTGGAGTGTGTTGGGCCAATCTTGAAGAACTATGAAGAATTGTTTTAACCCTCAGTGATGAATCACAGAAATGGTCGTTCATTGTTTAAAGCGTTGTTTCCATGACGATCAACCATGACAGATCTCATTATCTCTATCTCACAGTAGACTCTGTGAAAAGGTCCAAAGACTAGTTCAGAAGGTCTAAGGAGACTTATAGAGGTCAGGGGACGGACTAAAGAGGTTTGGAGTAGTTTCATAAGACTTTGTCTTAGAGGTCTGCAGATGTTGTTTTTATGACCCACAGTAAGAACTGAAACCAGATAAAACTGATGACTAACTGTCACTCAACTAATAAACTGTCCGTCCATCGTCAACATCTTCAGCATCTGGTTTTCATCATGATCAATCATAACAGAAGCCAACTTCTTTAACTAATGTTGTATTGGTCTTGATGGTCCAAACTCGATGTGAGCTGATGGTTCATGTTCCTCCACAGAGAGGACCAGGAGAGCTCAGATGTTCCCACAGGTCCATCTGCCCAGCAGCATCAAACACACATGGACTCCATCTTCATGGTGTGTACATGAACAACTACTTTACATTACATCTCAGTTCACCATCATCTCCATGCTGCACTTTGTAGACCAGTGGATTGTCCGTCTGTCCAACATGGACCTGATGGTGGCTTCCATGTTCTAGTTGGTGTCATTCATAGATGTTCTGTTCCAGCTGCTGGAGAAGAACATCCTCACTTTTGTGAAGAACGAGCTGAAGAAGATCCAGAAGGTTGTGAGTTCAGATTACCCAGAATGCGTAGAGAAAGAGGATGAGGAGGTGCTGGATGAAGAGCAGAGGAGGAGCAGAGAGGCATTTGTGAAGATCTCAGTTTACTTCCTGAGGAGAATGAAGCAGGAAGGGCTGGCTGAGCATCTGCAGAGCAGTAAGAGGATTTCTCTACAGACTCACCATGCTGATACATGAGACCTTCACTGATGTCTCGAGATGGACAGAATATATTCATAGTCATTCTGAGGAGAGGACATGTTGACATCTATTCTTTGACTCATTGATCTTCTCTGTTGTCTTCATTCAGGACTTCTTGCTGCAGTTTGTCAGCGTAAACTCAAATCCAACCTGAAGAAGAAGTTCCAGTGTGTGTTTGAGGGGATCGCTAAAGCAGGAAACCCAACCCTTCTGAATGAGATCTACACGGAGCTCTACATCACAGAGGGAGGGAGTGCAGAGGTCAATCAAGAACATGAGGTCAGACAGATTGAAACAGCATCCAGAAGACCAGCCAGACCAGAAACAACCATCAGACTAGAAGACCTCCTCAAAGCCTCAGCTGGAGGAGAGGAACCAATCAGAACCGTGATGACTAAGGGAGTGGCTGGCATTGGGAAAACAGTCTTAACACAGAAGTTCACTCTGGACTGGGCTGAAGACAAAGACCACCAGGACATACGGTTCACATTTCCATTCACCTTCAGAGAGCTGAATGTGCTGAGAGAGAAGAAGTTCAGTTTGGTGAGACTTATTCATCACTTCTTCAGTGAAACCAGAGCAGCAGGAATCTGCAGGTTTGAAGAGTTCCAGGTTGTGTTCATCTTTGACGGTCTGGATGAGTGTCGACTTCCTTTGGACTTCCACAAGAACGAGATCCTGACTGACATCACAGAGTTGGCCTCAGTGGATGTGCTCCTCACAAACCTCATCAGGGGGAAGCTGCTTCCCTCTGCTCGCCTCTGGATCACCACACGACCTGCAGCATCCAATCAGATCCCTGCTGAGTGTGTTGACATGGTGACAGAGGTAAGAGGGTTCAATGACCCCCAGAAGGAGGAGTACTTCATGAAAAGGTTCAGAGATGAGGAGCAGGCCATCAGCATCATCTCTCATATCAAGACCTCACGAAGCCTCCACATCATGTGCCACATCCCAGTCTTCTGCTGGATCACTGCTGGAGTTCTGGAGGAGTTGAAGACCAAAGATAGAGGAGAGCTGCCCAAGACCCTGACTGAGATGTACATCCACTTCCTGGTGGTTCAGTCCAAAGTGAAGAAGGTCAAGTACGATGGAGGAGCTGAGACGGATCCTCACTGGAGTCCAGAGAGCAGGAAGATGATTGAGTCTCTGGGAAAACTGGCCTTTGATCAGCTGCAGAAAGGCAACCTGATCTTCTATGAATCCGACCTGACAGAGTGTGGCATCGATATCAGAGCAGCCTCGGTGTACTCAGGAGTGTTCACTCAGATCTTCAGAGAGGAGAGCGGACTGTACCAGGACAAGGTCTTCTGCTTCGTCCATCTGAGTGTTCAGGAGTTTCTGGCTGCTCTTCATGTCCATCTGACGACCTTCAGCTCTGGTGTCAATCTGCTGTCAGAAGAACAAACAACCTCCCTGGAGTCTAAACGCTTTAAAGTCAATCCCGAACCAACGTGTCTCTACCAGAGTGCTGTGGACAAGGCCTTAAAGAGTCCTAATGGACACCTGGACTTGTTCCTCCGCTTCCTCCTGGGTCTTTCCCTGGAGACCAATCAGACTCTCCTACGAGGTCTGCTGACACAGACAGGAAGTTACTCAGAGACCAATCAGGAGACAGTTGAGTACATCAAAGAGAAGATCAGTAAGAATGTGTCTCCAGAGAAAAGCATCAATCTGTTCCACTGTCTGAATGAACTGAATGATGGTTCTTTAGTGGAGGACATCCAATGGTTCCTTAGTTCAGGACGTCTCGCTACAGGAGAACTGTCTCCTGCTCACTGGTCAGCTCTGGTCTTCATCTTACTGTCATCAGAAGAGGATCTGGAGGTGTTTGACCTGAAGAAGTACTCTGCTTCAGAGGAGGCTCTTCTGAGGCTGCTGCCAGCGGTCAAAGCCTCCAACAAAGTTCTGTAAGTACATCTTTTCTACTTATTGTTCATATTTTCTTCATTGTCGTTTCATTTAGGGCTGCAACAACGAATCAATGAAATCAATAAAATTTGATTATTAAAATCGTTGGCAACGAATTTCATTATCGATTCGTTGTGTCGCAAGATTATTACGTCACTCAATGAGTTGCGGAGATGCGCGCGGAGCAAAACTCCAACTCCTCTCTAAATAATTTAATGAATAAGCTTCAAGTGAACTTGTGAGTGTGAGAGTTTGTGAGAGTCGTATAGAGAACAAGTTCTGACGTTAAAACAAATCCTGTAAAATGTTCTGATTTGTATTTTTCTTTTTTCTAAATTATTATATTCAAGGAGCAACCTTTTACTTTCTGAAGTATTTTTGCAATGTGAATTTGAAGTTTGTTTTAGAATAAAGGGTTGGAAATGAAGGCTTTTTAATGCTGTTTTTTTTTTTATCCGATTAATCAAAGAAATAATCGACCGATTAATCGATTATCAAAATAGTCGTTAGTTGCAGCCCTAGTTTCATTTCTTATTGTAAGTGGAAAGAAGGTCTGTGACCTCTTGAACTGATACACGGTGTTCCTGAGATAAACAGATCTTAAGGATGATTTGTGAAGCAGGATCTGTGTATTCATGTTGTTAAGTTTTATTGCTTGTTGTTTTGTGTGTCTGCAGGCTGTCAGGCTGTCTGATCACAGAGGAAGGCTGTGCTTCTCTGGCCTCAGCTCTGACTTCTGACCCCTCCCATCTGAGAGAGCTGGACCTGAGCTACAATCATCCAGGAGACTCAGGAGTGAAGCTGCTGTCTGTTGGACTGGAGGATCCTCACTGTAAACTGGAGACTCTCAGGTCAGATTAAGTTAGTTTGTCCTCAAATATTTGAACGTGTCTCTAAACTATCAGCTACATGCAGTGTCAAAATAATCTCTCTTTCTTAAGCTATGAATTTGATCATCAAGTTTTCAGATTTTTTTTTACCAGGAAATAAACCAGAACTATGGAACCAGAGGAACTAATCTCAGAGATGAAACTATGGACCAAAAGCCCCTTTTGCGAATTTAAGTCTGTTTCCATGACATCACAAAAACTTTATAGACAAGACAAATTTATTACACAGTAGCTTAATAAAATAAAAAGACTGTTTGAAACACAATGTTCTTTCACAATAAAACATCACAGGTTCATCCTGCTGTTCCTCTTATTTAGGCTTTGTCATTTAATGTTTGATATAATAATGAATGAAAAGGATAAAAGCAGAGGTGGGAGAGACACCGAAGACTTTAATGTCTGTCGATCTGCTGACAGTTTGATGGTTGTTTATTTCTGATTCAGAACATAACAAACATGAAATCAGAAGATGAGGATTCATTTTCACTCTGTTTTCGCTCTTTAAAACGGGTCAGAGGATCGAGTAGGGCTAAGCAGTGTGCCGGTTCAAATTTCCTTATGGTATGAATTTTAGCCCTAACCCTAACCCAAACACTCTACAACAGGGTAAAACACCACAACACAACAGTTTGTGACACACAAACAATTTGTAACACCAATAACTGAATATTTATGAAACTACCCCACCGAACTGCATGCTGGGTACAGCTCGCCCGCTATCACAAGAAGAACAAACTTCGTCACTCTCATGAAAACACAGAAAAGAGCGATGCAGGAAGACCAACGAGAGACCAGAGATTTAACAACACAACTTGTGCCCAAGAGAGGATCCGTGTCTGTTTGGAGGGTAAAATAAAATAAAATAAGTTCGATCAGAAAATTTATTGCAAAGTTGGTCGAGCCGCTGGTATGCTAACACTAGCAGCTAACAAGCTAAAAAGCTAACTCGCTGGCTAGTTGCGAGCAAGAAAAGCTGTTTGGGTGGGCGGCGTCCTTGTTGTGTTCACTAGAAAGAAAAGTGCGGTGCTCCCATCAAACAGACTACTGTGATATGAATCTTTGGCCATAACGGCTAACCCTAGAAGCCAAACTGTATTTAGCGCTAAAAACAGCATTAAATATCTCCGCCTCATCCTGATATTGACACTACAGTACTTCCTCTAAACAATGGAGCACAATTGGCAAATTTACTCCTCTTGTTTAAAGTAGAACAACAGTGACACTTTCACTGGACATCTCTTTGCTCTTACTGATTTTTATCCAAACGTATCATCAAAGAGGATTTTATTTTGACATAACCATTATTTTTTCTTCTTTTTGATTGTTGTCTCTTCAGGCTGAGTGGCTGTAACCTCTCAGAGAGAAGCTGTGACGCTCTGTCCTCAGTTCTCAGCTCACAGTCCTCTAGGCTGAGAGAGCTGGATCTGAGTAACAACCACCTGCAGGATTTAGGAGTGAAGCTGCTGTCTGCTGGACTGGAGAGTCCACACTGTCACCTGGAGACTCTCAGGTCAGGATTCAGTTAATGTCCACTTAGTGTCTTTATTTACATCAACATTTCTGACAGTCATAAGATTATTTCTTCTTGCATGATTTGGTTCCAATATGTATTTTCCTTATAAATGTCCTGTTCAATGATTTCTTGATTTTTCTAACAACTACTCATGTACATTGTGTGTTTGGTTGGTATCCATGTTAATGTGACCCCTCTGTACCTGATAGTATCTCAGTACTGCAGTGACCTTCCAGCCCTCACAGCTCCCTCAGATCATGTGACATGTGTGTTGTTTTGTGTGTCTGCAGGCTGTCAGGCTGTCTGATCACAGAGGAAGGTTGTGCTTCTCTGGCCTCGGCTCTGACATCCAACCCCTCCCATCTGAGAGAGCTGGACCTGAGCTACAATCATCCAGGAGACTCGGGAGTGAAGCTGCTGTCTGCTGGCCTGGAGGATCCTCAGTGGAGACTGGAGACCCTCAGGTATGAGAGAAAAGACAAACAGTCAAAGAAACCATCTGTTCTAACCGTCTTGATGGATCATCACAGGAGGAACGTTTGGTGTTTTAAAGGAGCTCAGCTTCTCCTGGTTTTGGTGCTTTGCACTGAGAGCCAGTTTCCTGGATGATCAGAGTGGACTTATTGAAGCTACAGGTGACAGTCGGCCACAGACGCTCAGTGAAGAACCAACAGCTGATGGTGAACCTGGTGTGTCAGAGCCCAAAGAAGTTTGATTAGGACTGGACCAAAGTTCTAGGGGGACTCGGGCAGTGCTCTGTGGCTGCAGACCCACCTGAGCTGTAACACCTTCACCTCCAGACTACAGGGGATAGAAACCAGTGTTGACTGTTGCTTGGAGACGGGGAGTGAACAGTGTCAGTCAGACCTCCAACCCCCCCGACCTCCATCGGAGGGTTTGTGGCGCTGTAGTGATTTCAGGCTACTGGGGAACAAAAGTGTCTCAGGAGAAACTGTCAGACCTCAAAGCATCACACGTATCGACCAGTCAGTGGCCTACTGGGAACAACAGCCAACACGTAACATCATTATGGAGGATTACAATGAAATTGACCTCCTTTACAACTTCCACCACGGATAGCGTACTTATCAATCTTTAGTGAGTGACTACTTATTGGACTGTTGGACTACTATATTAAAGAGTGGACGTCCATCAGTCAGGTGACACAAAGACCATCATGTTGATGTGGAAGCAGCTGGTTGATCTCATGTTAGACAGAACTGCTTTAGAAGATGATCACATGTTGTGTTCACAGCTTGTTGTCACTGAAGTGGACAAAGAAACCACTAGATGGAAGTTTAAACATTGATTCACTGTGAAATGGAATATCAGTATTATACTGATATTAATAGATGATGAATAAGTGAACGTGATGAGCGGTGGTCATCGGCCAATCACAAGAAGAAGAGGTGGTCCATGTGAGCTGTGTGTGATGTAATGTCCATGTCTCCATGCTGCTCTGACCCCCCTCCTCCTTTCAGGGTGGAGCCTGATGGAGTCCGATGGTTGAGACCAGGTCTGAGGAAGTGTAAGTGTGCTTTGATTCATGAAGATTCAACCATCTTCACACTGTGACATCACTCATTCACCTCTGTGACGTCATCATCAACGTGTCAGTAGATGAACACATGATTAATAACTGCAGCTGTATTGTGTCTTGTTCTCTCATCAGATTCCTGTGAACTCACAATCGACACAAACACAGTAAACAAACAACTCAAACTGTCTGACAACAACAGGGAGGTGACTCATGTGGTGGAGGTCCAGTCACGTCCTGATCATCCAGACAGATTTGACTCCTGTCTTCAGCTGCTGTGTAGAACTGGTCTGACTGGTCGCTGTTACTGGGAGGTCGAGTGGAGCGGAGACGTTGATTTATCAGTGGGTTACAGAGGAATCCGGAGGAAAGGATACAGTTATGACTGTGTGTTCGGGTTGAATGATCAGTCCTGGAGTCTGATGTTCTCTGATGATAAAGGTTACTCTGTCCGTCACAATAAGACGGAAACATTCATCACCTCCTCCTCCTCCTCCTCTGGTAGAGTAGCAGTGTATGTGGACTGTCCTGCTGGCTCTCTGTCTTTCTTCAGGGTCTCCTCTGACACACTGATCCACCTCCACACCTTCAGCGCCACATTCACTGAACCTCTTTATCCTGGGTTTGGGTTCAGGTCCTGGCCTGGTTCTGGTGCCTCAGTGTCTCTGTGTCCTCTTCAGGAGGGAGAGTCTCCTCCTGGTGGAGAACCTTCCTCTCTGCTCACCACATAGTTCAGTCTGTACAGCTGATGGTGGTTCATGTGGGTGTAGATGCAGGTGGAGCAGGTGAGGGGTACCTGAGCTGGTCTGGACTCTGGGGGGTCCACAGCTCTCTGGGACTTGTGGTCTGAAGGAGCTCAGCGAGGTGTGTTTTAATGTCGCTGAGCTCGTTGCCTCTGTGGATGAATCCGTAGATCATCATTTAGATGTTGGGTCCTAATTAGGGTTTAATCTCAATCTTCAAGAAGACGTTTTATAAAAAGGTCTCACATGAGATAAATGTGTGTGTGTGTCTAATAGTCCTTATTTGTGTGTGTCCTTCATCAGCATTCATGCTGGTAAAAGCCAGGTGTTTTTTCAAGGGTTGTTTGTAACTATAAAATGCATTTGAATGCTAAAAGATTAAAGCTGAAATGAATAAAGAATTGTTCAAAATCCACATAGAAGCCTTTTCCTTTCGTCCCTTTACTCCCTGATCAGCTACCGGTGGCGGAGCTGGATATCCTGACGCTGCAGTTTGTAAAGATGAGGAGTAGAAGGTGGTTCGGTGCGATGACCATTTATTGCTCTTCATATGAAGAATTTACAAACCAAAAACAGGAGGTAAAAATAACAAACAATTAAACTGAAGCAGTTTCTTAGATGGCGGGATACGGCTCCTATGGCGGCAAATCACTGTCAAAATTCGAGAGCGCAAATCAGGTTGATGCGCGCGCGTAAATCAAACGTCCGCCAGCAAAAGTTCGTCTCGCGCGAGATATTTGCTCGCTCGCGCAGCGTGAACTTCCTCGCTCGCTAGGTTAGTCTCTGCTCGCGCGCGAAGGTGTTTTCTACGCGCTCGCTGTTGTTCTTTTTGACAGTAAGGGGGCGGAGCCAATCACCGTGGTCTCTACACCTGATTGGTTACAAACCCCGTCTTTGGATTGGCTGGAGTGATGCATTCACACAACTATAGAAGCCCGTTTCCGCACTGAAGAAAGGGGATAGAAAGTCTAAATTATGAGATAAAACGTTGTGTTGCGTGCGTGTCCCCATTTTTCTGGACTAGCGTGTAAAGCTTTGCAGCGTCCTGCAGCACCAGGCTGTGATTGGTCCGCTGACTACGTCCTTTACGGAGTCTCACGTCTCCGTTTTCACAGCACAATACGGCCGTTATTAAAAGGAAGAACGTTTACGAGAGAACGGATCAGATTGAAGAGCTTTTAAATATGAGCGCTTGTACAAGCCGTCATTGGCGGACGATGAGGACGCCGGATGGCCTCTGATTCATGGAGGGAGATCTCCACCAACGAGGGAACAAAGTCGTGGAGGAAAATACTTCCACACACAAAGACGTGACTCTCCAGGTCGTCTTCAACAAAACACGTGACTCCACCTGTTGTTCTGGAGGTGAATCGCTCTGCAACACACGCAGGACTTTACCACCAGGAAGTGAAACCAGCGCGTGGACACGACGTGAAGACGCAGAAACACGCGGCGACCTTAACTTGTAACCTCTGGGAGGTCAGTGTAGAGGTGTTAACCATAAAGTAAATAGTCACAAAATATAAAAGAATAACGCTTCATAGAAACCAATCAATTCACAGCAAATAAGATGACGAAAACAAACACATGCAAGATGGCTGCTCCATCACTGTGTCACACAGCAGAAAATGAAACACAACAAGGTCCATGCATTTCTGCAATAGTGTGTGTGTGTGTGTGTGTCTGTGTGTGTGTGTGTGTCCAGCAGCATTCAGGGCTTTGCTGCGGAGCCTCGGTGGAATGCAGCAGCTGCTCCTCAGCTTCACAATAAGAGACCAAATAAGGACGTCTGATGTGTTTGAATGACACACACAGTTCAGCTGCTGCATGCATGAGGTGTGTGTGTGTGTGTGTGTGTGTGCGAGGTGGCGTGTGTCAGTCTGGGGGAGACGGGTGCGTTCAAGAGTTAAAGAGCCTCTAATTATTATTATTATTACAAAGGTCACGTGACCTTTCTTCACATGCGTCATGTTATTATTAATAACAGAAGCTTTTATCTGAAGACTCGTCACATTTAAACCGTTTAGATTAGACGACAATAATCAAACACACAAAAATCACACCGTCATCTCCCAGGAATCCTTCACGCATGGAACATGCGGCTTCCTCCCTCCGTCCACACAGATGCTCCGGGGACCCGCTTGATTGGTCGCTCTATGTTGCCCGTAGGCGTGTGGAGGCGTGTGGAGGCGTGTGGATGGTTGTGCGTCTCTGTGTAGCCCTGCGATTGGCCGGCAACCAGTCCAGGATGAACCCGTCTATCGCCTGAAGTTAGCTGCCCCCCTATGAAGGATAAGCGGTTTGAAGATGGATGGATAGAAATAGATCTAATAGAAATAAGAGCTGACTTGAAGGTTCCTTCCTGGTAGTAGTATTCCCACGGTGTATCTTTATGGGTTAAACCTGTTTTTACTGCAAAAGAAGTGTACATTTTATTTTGATGTGATATTCATCCATCCATCTTCAAAGCTGCTTACGCTTCATTCAGGGGCGGGTCAGTGGGTGGATGATATTCATAGTCAATGTGACACAAGGTCAAGGTAGGATTATGTGTGGACTGCACGTCTGTTGGTTACTATTATTATTGTTATCATTGTGTGTGTGTGTGTGTGTGTGTGTGTGTGTGTGTGTGTTCAACTTCTGTTTCTAACAGAATGTGGTTCAGCTGAATGGTTTGTGGAGGGATTTTAAATGAGACATAAAAGGCTGATGAAATATAATTTAATGTTTCTCCTTTTCCCACGAAGCGTTCATCACACGTGATGCATTCAAAGGCCGTCGTAATGACGGACATCTCAGAATCCCGACTGCTCTCTCAGCGTCTGTCAGAGGTGATCGATTGAAGGAAACGTGTTTTCCATCGGAGGGGTTGGAGCGCGTGTGATGTCATCCTCATCCTATCTGCACTGGCGGAGGGGTCCAGGGAGGCAGAGGGGATGATGGGAGATTAAGACCTAGCTTATGTTCAGGAGGAGCGTCCATTGTTCTCTGTTAGAATCTGGGATTCCTTCTGGACATCCTTTAGGCCGCTGCTCGCTAAGCGTGCGCCTGGAATCCAGGACGAAAACAGGCGTGAGCTGTCAGCCAATCAGACAACAGCCAGAGTCTTCTTCAAAGAGCCGAAGAGCCACAGAGGCCTCACAGAGGACTTTAGCCGTAGGCCCTAAAGCCCTGTGGGTTACGGCTTCAGGGCCTCTGGGTGAGCTGTAACCCCGACCTGCAAACCAGCTGCTCTGTCCAGAGAGAGAGACACAGACAGATGAGGACAGAGAGACAATGAGCAGATGACAATGAGCAGATGAGGACAGAGAGACAAGGAGAGATGAGGACGGAGAGACAATGAGCAGATGAGGACAGACAGACAAGGAGAGATAAGGACAGAGAGACAAAGACAGATGAGGACGGAGAGACAATGAGCAGATGAGGACAGAGAGACAAGGAGAGATGAGGACAGAGAGACAATGAGCCGATGAGGACAGAGAGACAATGAGCAGATGAGGACGAAAAGACAATGAGCAGATGACGGCGGAGAGACAAAGACAGATGAGTACAGAGAGACAATGAGCAGATGAGGACAGAGAGACAAGGAGAGATGAGGACAGAGAGACAATGAGCCGATGAGGACAGAGAGACAATGAGCAGATGAGGACGAAAAGACAATGAGCAGATGACGACGGAGAGACAAAGACAGATGAGTACAGAGAGACAATGAGCAGATGAGGACGGAGAGACAATGAGCAGATGAGGACAGAGAGACAATGAGCAGATGAGGACGAAAAGACAATGAGCAGATGAGGACAGAGAGACAATGAGCAGATGAGGACGGAGAGACAATGAGCAGATGAGGGCAGAGAGACAAAGACAGATGAGGACGGAGAGACAATGAGCAGATGAGGACAGAGAGACAAAGACAGATGAGGACAGAGAGACAATGAGCAGATGAGGACGGAGAGACAATGAGCAGATGAGGACAGAGAGACAATGAGCAGATGAGGACGAAAAGACAATGAGCAGATGAGGACAGAGAGACAATGAGCAGATGAGGACGGAGAGACAATGAGCACACGAGGACAGAGAGACAAAGACAGATGAGGACAGAGAGACAATGAGCAGATGAGGACAGAGAGACAAAGACAGATGAGGACAGAGAGACAATGAGCAGATGAGGACAGAGAGACAATGAGCAGATGAGGACAGAGAGACAAAGACAGATGAGGATAGAGAGACAATGAGCAGATGAGGACGGAGAGACAAAGACAGATGAGGACAGAGAGACAATGAGCAGATGAGGACAGAGAGACAAAGACAGATGAGGACAGAGAGACAATGAGCAGATGAGGACAGAGAGACAAGGCAGTTGAGGACACTCAGTGTCCATAGATAGTCCTCGGATAGACCGACAGAGAGGACGGGGTGAGGAGCGTATTCCATGACGACCCCAGCAGGCCCTTTTATGTCCGGCCTATGGGACCGGCTGGACCAATCACATGCCGGCTGGCGGGTCAGGTGACTCTTCCCAGGGAGGTTATAAAGCCCGGCGGCGCCCGGCGGACGACTCACTGTGATCTTCCAGCACGACTCGACCCAGGACAGAGAAAAGACAGCGCTTCAGAGGTGAGTAGGCAGCGGGACTACACTACCCATGAGCCTCAGCGGTCGTTACCACGGTGAAGGTTCCCTGAACGTTTCGACCAGGTTTTCACGTCTTCTGGGTTTTGTTCATTGGATTAATTGTAAATGAAGCAACGTGAAAATGAACCACTGACGTCTAAAATCATTTGTTGAGTTTAAGTTCTGATTATTGTCATTTCTTCTTGTCCCACCTCGGGGATGTGTAACTTACGATGCTGACTAAAAGACAGCAGACCTCGTTCTCGTGTTCGTGTCTTCTCCTTAACTTGGATACGAGGAGTTTGTGTCATCGACAGCTGAGCGATTCAGATGATGTTTACGATCAAACTTCTGTTGGCCTGTGATGTCCGAGCTTCCACTGTCAACAACAAACAATCCGACCTCATAACCCTCACAATGTCCTACAACACAACTCTGCGTTTTCACCTGCAAATTCATTCTTCACAATAAAGCTGCGTCTCAGCAGCAGGTGAAGAGAAAGGTGAGTCTGCGTTGCCTCGTGGTTCCCTCTGGGGGGGGCGGGTCTCTGGCTCTTCACGCTGTGTGTTGATGACATACGAAAGGGTCCAGTTAATAAAAGTCAGAGAATCAGAGAATAACTTTGTGGCTGTTCTACGTGTTTCTCAAACTGAGGGGCTCAACCCTCTCATGGCATCAAAGGTGGGGTCTATGCGAAAATCTACATTTATTTATTTTATTTATTCGTTATTATTTCCAGAACTTTGAGAACTTTTACAAGAAAGAAAAGTACACAGATCCAAGCTGAATATTGATCATGAATTGAGAGGCCGCATCAAATCTGCAAGCGGTTATGGAAAGATTAGTGGTGGAAAGAGTCATTGCAGCCACTAAATCTGATAGAAGTCAGTTTGTTCTGTTTTTCACAGGTTGAACTTTATTGAAAAGATGTCAATTACAGGCACAATAAAATACTTTATGTTTTGCACGGATAGAAGTTTGTTTGCATTGTTCCAACAAGATGGTTGAACATTTTACTTTTCTGGTTTATGATTCCAATTTTTTCCATTATTTGAAAACGCATTGAAGGAGGAGTCACAAAATGTTATTTCAATAAGAATTTGGGGCCGTGAACATTTTGTGGGAGGTGAAGCAAACATGGTCATCGTTTCTTTACCTTCTGAACACTAAGGGTTTGATATGTGCACGTGATGCAAAATCTCTCCTTCGGCCAGCTGACAGGAAGTGAGTCGATCCAAGAACCCCAGGACGCTTCAGATCTTCTGTCCTGCTTGTTGTTGTTGTTGTTTTGGGGTGGGACGGAGTCCAGAGCTTTAGTGAGCAGGTCCTCTTGAGCCGAGGTGGCAGCTGCAAGCTCCGCCTGGAATCCCGAGCAACGGGGGGCGGAACATTCCGCCAGGATGACAAGAGTCCTGATGAGAGCGCCATTAAAACTGTAATTATTCTGATGGAATCAGAGGGGATTCATCCGCCTGACAAAGTCTATATTCACACCAGTTAGTTTGATAAGAACTGCAATTAATCGCAGTTGGAACTTTAGATTTGTGATTTTATTTTAAAAAAAAAAAAAAAAAAAAAAAAAAAAAAAAAAATGACCCTTTAATTTTAAAGATTGTTGTCTTTGAACCATTTAGACACAAAACAATAAGTCGGATAAACAACACAAACAACAAAAAAACAGGTTTATACCATATATATATATATGGAGGCTGTAATCTTTTCTGTTTTGATTCTCTGAGGTTGTTTGAAGAAACCATCTGGTGTCTTTTAGAACCCAGAAAACCCCTCTGACCTCCCAGAACCTTTACAAGCCTCTGAACCCTCAGAACATGAAGCAGGTTCTCTGATTCGCTCTGTGATCATAAAGTTCTGAGCCTCTTTGGAAGCAGAATCTTGATGACTAGAAGTAGAGAACTAGAACATGACCGGTCCATGTTCGATGACCTTTGATGACCTCTGCGTGTGCTGCATGAGTCACCTCACTTGCTAATGAGGGTTCTGTTGTTCTGGCGTTCAGATGTCTCGGTTTCTGGACCTGGCGGAGTTCGGAGAAGCCGCTCGCTTCCTTCGTCTCACCAACTTGGAGCAGCTGGCTGCCGTGGCCCAGGCGTATGATGGTAGATATGCAACGCACCAACAAGGTACCGTATACTCCTAAACCACTCACCGTGTCTCCTCACAGGCACCAAGCGGGTCTGGATGCCCGATGACGTGGAGGCGTACGTCGAGGTGGAGGTCAAAGAGCTGAACGGAGATAAGACCACGGTGGAGACCAAGGACGGACGGGTCAGTCGGTCTTACTTCAGAACGTTCTTCTGATGCTCTCACTGTTCCTCTCTGAGCGCTCCCTCCTTGACCTTCTTCTACGTACCTGTTTCAGTTCCTGGTGGTCAAAGAGAACGAGCTGCAGCCGTTGAACCCTTCGAAGTTCGATATGATTGAAGACATGTCCACGCTGACACACCTGAACGAAGCCTCGGTGCTCTTCAACCTGCGGAGGAGATACAGCATGTGGATGGTCTACGTCAGTGTCGGCTCTCTTTCTGTCTTTTTCAGTTTACACATAACTGCTTCTAATGCACCAGAAAACACAGACATGAAGAATATTACATTACAATAAGTGTGTTTCAGCCAAAAGGACACAAACTCAGAGGAAACAAGAGTGATTTCATCAAATAAGCCGATGTACAACTTGCTGTAGATAAGAACCATTATAAGTCCAATGTAAGTGCTACAGTTAGTTAGTGTGTTAGTGGAGGTAGAGTGTGAAGAGGTGTGTCTTTAGTCTGAAGATGTGAAGGCTCTCTGTGGTCCTGGTGTCTTCAGAGACCTCCTTCCACCATTTAGGAGCAGGACAGCAAAGAGTGGAGATCTAGTCCAGTGTTTTGCTCTCAGTCAGGATGTCGGGTTGGACCAGGTCCTGGATGGAAGCTGGACCCCATCCATGTTTAGAACTGGATGAGCCACCGGTACCAGTGAAGTGAGCAGAGGATCAAAAGATTTAATAAACATAGCTTAACTTTTAGTTTTCCTTGTCAGACCTACTCGGGTTTGTTCTGCGTAGCCGTCAACCCGTACAAATGGCTGCCGGTCTACTCTGACCGGGTGGTCACCGCCTACAAGGGGCGTCGACGTCTGGAGGCCCCGCCCCACATCTACGCCGTGGCCAACAACGCCTACCTCGACCTGCTGCAGAGTGAGTCCCCCGCAACCTCTGACCTTTAACCTCCTCCCTCAGGCCAGCTGTGGCTGCTAGCGCTACCTGTGCTACGGGTCTGCTAGCATCGGGCTTCTTTAGTCACAGTTCATCCTCATAACGCAAATCTCTTCTTTTATTTATTTGTTTGAGATTCGGTTTCGGTTTTATTGGAAAAATTGACCTTTAACTTCCTGTGGTCAGAAAGCAGATTAACATAAAATAACAATATTGCTTTCTTTTTCAATCCAGTTTGATTTCCAACATAATCTTCTCAGTTCATTGATTTTTATATATTCTTTTCATCTGTGAACATTTCCAGGGACGAATGATCAGAATTAATAGATTTTTTTTAATACTGATGAATATGATTCTCTCACTAACATCTTAAAAATGATTTTAATGTATTTCTGCACACCGTAGATGTACATGAAAGTGGTTAAAAAACAAAAACATGTTGAATTAGTAAACTGAATTGTTGGTGGTCATGGATTGATTTTCCTCCACAGATCGGGAAAACCAGTCGATGTTAATCACGTGAGTCGACAATCGCTGTTTTGACATTTAATGTTTCATTTCTGACAACAAACATCATGTAAAAACAAAAATGGATGTTTGAATGTTCGGACTTAAGCTAATAGAGCATGAACATGCAACTTCTACACCAGGTAAGTCCTGTTATTTCACCCATGGCGTGTGAGCGGTGATCTGTGTAACTTGTTCATCTTCTCAGCGGGGAGTCGGGCGCAGGGAAAACCGTCAACACCAAGAGGGTGATTCAGTACTTCGCCATCGTCGCTGCTCAGGGAGAAAATGTGAAAAAAGGAGTGAGTCTTATGAAAATTATATCTTTATTAGCAAACGGACCATAAAGCAGGGGACGCTTTAGGGCGGGGCTACATGCTGATTGACAGGTCTCTCCCATGGCACCTCTAAGTCCTCCTTATTCCTGATGAGGTCACTTGCTGTTAACTGGTTGCAAAACGCAAGATGGTGACGAAAAAATGCAAATGGCTTCAAAACATCCAGCAACTATTGTGAGAGGCGTCTCCATGACGACGTGCACTGAGTACTCTATTCTCCGTGTCCAGGGATCCTTAGAGGACCAGATCATTGAAGCCAATCCAGCCATGGAGGCGTTTGGCAACGCCAAAACTGTCCGCAACGACAACTCGTCACGCTTTGTGAGTTTAATGAATGAATAATTGTGGCGAGCTGAGGATGTGTCGAGTTTCTAAGAGAGTCCCTCTGCGTTTGTGTGTCTCAGGGAAAGTTCATCAGGATTCATTTTGGGACGTCAGGACGGCTGGCGTCCGCAGACATCCACATCTGTGAGATGTTCTCTTTTACAGTTAAATCAACAGATGTTTGACATGTTTGTATGTGTTGTAATTCTGTTGATTCCATTCTATTCGTTCGCATTAAATGCTACTAAATGCTACATTAAAGCAGAGTATTAAGAATTTATATGTGTATTTTATCAGATCTTCTGGAAAAGTCAAGAGTCGTGTTCCAGCAGCCGGAAGAGAGAAGCTACCACATCTATTACCAGATCCTGTCCAATCACAAGCCAGAGCTGCAAGGTAGCCACACCCACAGAAAGATCTATTCTGGACTCGTATGTAAATCCCCGTTAAGACATTCGAACACAACATGTCATCACAAAACACAGAAAGCATGTGCTGATCTCTATGTGAGGGATAAACCGCTGGTACTTATTGAGTTTGCTCCCTTTGCTGCAGACATGTTGCTGCTGACCACCGACCCGTACGACTACCACTTCTGCTCCCAGGGACGGACCACAGTGGAAGGCATGGACGACGCAGAGGAGCTGAGGCTCACTGATGTGAGCGAGGTCACTTCCAGACACACTCAGACACACTGGTGACATGTGCACAATAACGTCAGAGTGTGTGTGTGTGTGTGTGCGTGTGCGTGTGCGTGTGTGTGTGTAGCACGCCATGGACACGCTGGGCTTCACACTGGAGGAGAAGTACGGTTGCTACAAGATCGTTGGGGCCATCATGCACTTTGGAAACATGAGGTTCAAGAAGAGGCCCAGGGAGGAGCAGGCGGAGGCCGACGGGACGGAGAGTAAGGGGGCGGAGCTACAGCCCGCCATCGTTTAACCACGAAAACGTCGATCACTTTGTGTCTCAGAAGAACGGATAAAAATCTTCTTGGATGTGTTCGTAGAGCCTGTTGTGTTGGACCAAAGTGTAACAATGACTGTCGATGTTCATAAGATGAAAACAGGTGAAATGAGGCGTAAATAATTAGATGAAAGTCAGATAAAATGATGAGAAATACAGTCGTAAAGTCGCTAAAGTCAGAAAAGATTTGAGATGAAAAGTACCTCTCTGAGAGCTAGGAGGTCCTTATTACTGTACTACTTCTCAGAGGTACATATTGTACTTTTTACTGTACTACATCTCAGAGGTCAGGTGGTTCTTCGCCTCCTTGTCTTATTGAAATGAATGGGTATAAATGGCAGACAAATTGAGATGTGCGTGTTGTGTCGTTGTGTGTTGAGGTGTTGACAAAGCAGCCTACCTGATGGGCATCAGCTCCGCCGACCTGCTGAAGGGTCTTCTGAACCCCCGCGTCAAAGTCGGACACGAGTTCATCGTGAAGGGACAGACCGTAGAGCAGGTAACCCACGGATCAATCAACCAATCGATCGATCGATCATGGTCTATTCTGTATCTTCTCCATGTTGCCTCGGTGTGGATCTGCAGGTGACCTCCGGTGTGGCCGCTCTGGCCAAAGCCACCTACGACCGCATGTTCAAGTGGCTGGTGAGCCGCATCAACTCGTCCTTGTACACTGCGCTGCCTCGTCAGTACTTCATCGGAGTCCTCGACATCGCCGGCTTTGAGGTCTTCGAGGTAAAGGGGAGGAAGGGGCAGAGATACATGTGTTCGTGCTAAGCTACGCTAAACATGTCCGGGCCTATGTCCACTAGATGGACGGGGATCTTCATTTCTGAATCTATTGTAGACATTTAAAGTCGGCGTGCAGCCACTAATGGTCAAAGCTTCATGAGGTAAAGCTGCATTCTGTGTAGTGACCAGAGGGGGGCTCCTCTGGTCGGATCTTCCCGTCTCTGATTCACAGCTACATTTCCGTTGTTTGTGTCTTGCTGCAGTTCAATAACTTCGAGCAGCTGTGCATCAACTTCACCAACGAGAAGCTGCAGCAGTATTTCAACCATCACATGTTCATCCTGGAGCAGGAGGAGTACAAGGCCGAGGGTATCGAGTGGACCTTCATAGACTTCGGTTTGGACTTACAGGCCTGCATAGACCTGATAGAGAAGGTGTGTGTTGCGATTGTGTTACTTTAAGTCTTTTTTGAATAGCATAGAGGTAGTGTTTAAGTTGTGGTGTATTAGTTCTATTGGACGACAGAGGCTGGAATCTGATGACGTGAACGATCCTACAAGACATAAATCAAAGATGTATGTGAATACGTTGCAGCCGATGGGCATCCTGTCCATCATGGAGGAGGAGTGCATGTTCCCCAAGGCCACTGACACCAGCTTTAAAACCAAACTCTACGACAACCATTTGGGAAAGTCGCCCAACTTTCAGCGGCCTCGGCTGGACAAAAAGCGCAAATACGAGACGCACTTTGAATTGGTCCACTACGCCGGAGTGGTGAGTGTCGGCTCATGTAGAGGGTCCTGTTGGTGGATGTTGAAGACATATTTGATTTGTTGGTTGATGGTTGAACCATGTGTTCCTTTTCAATGTGTCCAATAAAGCAACAACCAAATAGCATGTTTTCACACAACAAACTAACAACACAGAGTTGGACTGGTCTTTGTCATTTAATGTTTTGTTTTTGGTATCTGCCCCTAAAGGAGACGTGTATGGATGCAAAAGTGGTGGTGATGCTAAAGAGTCTTTGATTTATTTTAAGCCTGAGAATAAGCTTTTTGCTTCCAGTACTTTTGTGAAGCCACCATGGATGTGATTGTCTTTTCCTTCTGAGACGTTAAGAGTAAAGACTGAGCTGGACCTTTTCACTTATGACTTTAAAAACCCCCAAACTAGCAGATCAGGATGAGAGTTATGTAAGTTTGTGAGCCAAACAGTCCATGTGAGTGGTAGAGAGGGAAGAGGTCTTGTCCACGCTTACATTTTAAAGGTCTTATTTGGTTCTAATCTAGAGTTCAAATTAAATACATTACAACTTGGCCTTCAAGATGAGCAACAATACATTTACTCCTCATTGATATTAGAAACTTTGGTAATTCCAATTAGTTTTATATAAATCTCAAGGAAAAAACATAGTGAGATGTAAAGTTTTCCATCATTTTAGCTTTTGGGAGCTTGTTGATCCTGAGAATAAGAGGCCCTAGAATAGAGCCCTGGGGAACTCCAAACCAGCTCTGTTTGCAGAATTGTGTATCGTAATAGGAGGATAAGACTCATACAGAAGCATCTGTGTTGAGTTGTTGGAAAATGATCGGTGCGTACATCTCCGTAGGTTCCGTACAGTATCACAGGATGGCTGGATAAGAACAGAGATCCTCTGAATGAGACGGTGGTGGCTCTGTTCCAGAAATCCTCCCACAAACTGATGGCTGGACTCTTTGAGGACTACATCAGCTCTGACATTGGTAACTACACCAACGTTCTTCTTAGGTCAAAGGGTGACAAATTCCAAACATACCCTCAACTGGAGCAAAGCCACACACTTTAAGGGAAATAATAATGAATAAATAAAAGTGTGACTATGTGTTGTTGTTTGTGTTGTTGTTTTAGCAGGAGATCCAAAGGCTGAAAGAAAACACAGGAAGAGGAAAGCAGCTTCCTTTCAGACAGTTTCCCAGCTGCACAAGGTGAGTAAATAGTTGTTTGTCTGTTTGACTGGTGAGAAGGTCTCTGACTCATCGTCTGTTTGTTTGTTTAAATGCAGGAGAATCTAAAGAAGCTAATGGCTAACCTCCGCAGCACTCAGCCTCACTTTGTGCGATGCATCATCCCCAATGACACAAAGAGTCCAGGTAACCAGGGAACCGAAGCAGAGCTGCAGAAATCTGTGGCCTCGCTCCGTCAGACACCAGACAGCTACAACACCAATGCGTCCGTGAAGTGGAAGCACGTCAGATCCACACATTCTCTCACTGTATCCGTGCTCCAGGTGTGATGGACGCCTTTATGGTCCTCCACCAGCTGAGGTGTAACGGAGTCCTGGAGGGGATCCGGATCTGCAGGAAGGGGTTTCCAAGCCGCCTCCTGTACGCCGAATTCAAACAACGGTGGGTCTTGAACCCAACGACAAAAACTTCAGTCATGTTACTGAAGCTTGTTTTACTGCAGGATCTTTGTGCCTGCTTCCCTCCAGGGATCCACGTGTGCTTTTCCTTCTCAGATATCGCATCTTGAACCCTGCTGCCATTCCGGAGGACTCCTTTGTGGACAGCAGAAATCCGGGAGAACTCCGAGCTCTCTGATGTCGACCATTCCAGACAAGTTTGGACTAATTCGGTCCGCTCAGATTCTGTGATACTCCCCCCAGCTCAGATACTGTGATACTACTACAGCTCAGATACTGTGATACTACTACCGGCTCAGATATTGTGTGCTACTCTCGGCTCAGATACTGTGATACTACTACCAGCTCCGATACTGTGATACTACCACCAGCTCAGATACTGTGATACTACCACCAGCTCAGATACTGTGATACTACCACCAGCTCAGATACTGTGATACTACTACCAGCTCAGATACTGTGATACTTCTACCAGCTCAGATACTGTGATACTACCACCAGCTCAGATACTGTGATACTACTACCAGCTCAGATACTGTGATACTACTACCGGCTCAGATATTGTGGTGCTACTATCGGCTCAGATACTGTGATACTACCACCAGCTCAGATACTGTGATACTACCACCAGCTCAGATACTGTGATACTACCACCAGCTCAGATACTGTGATACTACCACCAGCTCAGATACTGTGATACTACCACCAGCTCAGATACTGTGATACTACTACCAGCTCAGATACTATGATAGTACCACCAACTCAGATACTGTCATACTACCACCAGCTCACATACTGTGATACTTCTACCAGCTCAGATACTGTGATACTACTACCAGCTCAGATACTGTGATAGCACTACCAGCTCAGATACTGTGATACTACCACCAGCTCAGATACTGTGATACTACTACCAGCTCAGATACTGTGATACTACTACCAGCTCCGATACTGTGATACTACCACCAGCTCAGATACTGTGATACTACCACCAGCTCAGATACTGTGATACTACCACCAGCTCAGATACTGTGATACTACCACCAGCTCAGATACTGTGATACTACCACCAGGGTCTCAGGGTGTCATGCTGTACGGATCTCCTGGTAACACCACTGACCTTTGGTTGGAGCGATGTGATGGAGGTTTTCTCCGTGCTCGCAGGTGTTCTTCAAGGCGGGTCTGTTGGGTCTGTTGGAGGACATGAGGGACTTTCGTCTGGCTGCGATCTTCACCATCATTCAGTCCATGGCCAGAGGTAGGCTGATGAGGGTGCAACGCGAGAAGATGACGATTCAAAGGTCAGTGAGACGACCACATGACTTATGAGAAATGATATTTGTTTTTCATGGTAAGAGCGTGAGTTTGGGCTTCACTCCTTCCTCTCAGGGACGCTGTTCTGGTGATCCAGTTCAACCTCAGAGCCTTCTTCACTGTGAGGACGTGGCCCTGGATGACGCTGTTCTATAAGATCCGCCCCATGCTGAGGAGCGCCCAGGTGGAGAAAGAACTGGCTGCTCTCAAAGAAGAGTTCAGGAAGCTAAAAGAGGCCTTTGACAGGTGCATTAAGCCCGTTGACCCCATTGACCTTACCACTCACACATTTCATTTGGGTTTGGTTCAGAAAGTAAAGTACAAAGATCGGCGTCATACGTCTGATTGTTTCTTCCTGCATCAGGTCAGAGGTGAAGCGTTGGGAGGCGGAGGGGCAGCAGGTGGTGTTGGTTCAGGAGAAAAACGACTTGGCTCTGCAGCTGCAAGCTGTAAGTCTTAAATCTGTAGGATTACTATGAAGGTGCTAATTTATTTTCCTAAAAGACAAACCTCTCTCTAAAATAGAGGATTTGATGTCAGATGCTTATTTCAGAAAGCTTTTCTCTTGTAAACTCATTATTCTCTTCAGTTCCTCTGAGATTCCTCTTTTGGTTTTTCGTTGACTCGTCCAGGAGCAGGAGAACCTGGCGGATGCAGAGGAGCGCTGCAACCAGCTGATTCAGTCCAAGATCTCCATAGAGTCAAAGCTGAAGGAGATGCAGGAACGTCTGGAGGACGAGGAGGAGATGACCACCGCGCTCACGTCCAAGAAACGTCACCTGGAGGAGGAGGTGGTGCTGCTGAAGAGAGACGTGGACGACCTGGAGATGACTCTGGCCAAAGTGGAGAAGGAGAGACACGGAGTGGAGAACAAGGTCTTTGCCTCTCTGCAGGGGGCTTTCACTTCTCTCTGGCTGAGAGATTCAGTTCTGGTGACTGGTGAGTATTAAATATGATTCTCCCTGCCGTCCAGGTGAAGAACCTGTCCCAAGAGATGTGTGTTCTGGATGAATCCATCGCGTCTCTGACCAGAGAGAAAGCCGCCCTGCAGGCCGCTCACCAGCAGGCCCTGACTGACCTCCGGGCGCAGGAGGACAAGGTCAACATGCTGGTCAAGGTGAAAGCACGGCTGGAGCAGCAAGCGGACAATGTAAGAGAACATATGAACACGTCACACTCCACAACCCCCCCCAACTCCCCCGACTCCCCCTCCCATCACTGCAAAGATCTCACTCAATGGTCCAAGGAGAATACGATGTTTACACACATTTCTGCCGATGGAAGAAGAAACTGCTTCAGGTGTCCAACTCATAGTTTGTGAACTGATGCACAACATTCTTCTACAGGAAGTTCCTCTATGTAGTGTTTTCATAAAGGAGCTTCCTAAACTATCCTTCCGAAACCCCTAATTAATAAAAATCCCTAAAATCTCCTTCTGGTTACTTGGACTTCCGCGTGACATTCAAAGCATCTTCATGACCCCCAGAACCTCCTGGTTGAAGCACCTCAAGACTCACCAAAATGTCTCCAAGCACCTCCTCAAGGGTTCTGGTCAGATCAAAGTACCACCCCCACCCCTCTCCTTTCGACAGGCGGAGGGCTCCCTGCGGGTGGAGAAGAAGGTGCGATTGGAGTTGGAACGAATCAAACGGAAGCTGGAGGGGGATCTGAAGCTCTCCCTCGACTCGGTGAAGGACTTGGAGACCCAGAAGGCAAAGCTGGAGGAGAGGCTGAAGAAGTAAGAAAGCACGGCTGCAGCTTGTAATTCACTAATAAGATGAAGTTTATTTATTTAGCGAGATCGTTAACAGAACGTTCCTCCTCTGTCCTTCCATCTCTCTCCCTAAAGAAAAGACTTTGAATCGGGTCAGCTTCAGTCCAAGCTGGAGGACGAACAGAGTGAGCTTGCTCATCTTCAGAAGAAGATCAAAGAGCTCCAGGTTGGTCACACCGATCCAGAATGGAACTCCCTGATGTTCTCCCCTTCCTCACTCTGGCTTGTGTCGTCCATTGACCCCTCAGACCCGCAGCGAGGAGCTGGAGGAGGCGCTGGATGCAGAGCGAGCGTGGCGTTCCAAAGCCGAGCGCCAGAGGAACGACATCAGCAGAGAGCTGGAGGAGCTGGAGGAGAAACTGGAGGAGGCGGGAGGAGCCTCTGCTGCTCAGATCGCTCTCAACAGGTCAGCAGCAGCACCAAAGCTGCGTGAATGAGGCTTAGTACCTTTCCTCCAACACCACTGACTTGACGTCTAACAGGAAGAGGGAGGCCGACTTCCTGAAGATGCGACGGGAGCTGGAGGAGGCGGGGCTTCACCACGAGGCCACAGCCGCCACGCTGAGGAAGAAGCACTCGGACACGGTTGCAGAGCTCGGCGAGCAGATCGACGCTCTGCAGCGAACCAAGTACAAACTGGAGAAGGAGAAGATGGAATTCAGGATGGAGGCGGAGGACTTAGCTGCAAACGTGGAGCAGCTCTCCAAGAACAAGGTGAGTCCACCTTAAAAAAGAAAACTACACAAATCATACCGTTACACTGAGGAAGAATATTAGTTATGTGTCTTTAAGCTGCGTTCTGTGTAGTGACCAGCAGGGGGCGACATCACAGTAAACATTGTAAACATGAGTTTATGGTCTCAGTCTCTAGTTTCAAGTCTTCTTCAATACAGATGATGTTTATTTAGCAGATTATGGTCCATTTGGAGTGAAACAGACGACAAAGCAGGGGACGCTTTAGGGCGGGGCTACACACTGATTGACAGGTCTCTAACAGACCACGAAGCAGGGCATGCTTAAGGCTACGTTGTGATTGAGATTGACCGCACCATTATGACGAGTATCTATCCTCAAAATATGCTCACATCTGGCTCCAAAAAACCAAGATTGCGACAGCCACGATTTCATTTTTCATCATTTTGAGACTTGTGAACTGCAGTCCACAAACAGAACCGAGTCCTCCTCCCACTCTACAGTCTTTGCCAGGCACGGAGCCAACTTGCATGATGGGTAATTTGGAATCCTTTTGTTTTTGGTGCTGAGCCCAAACCCCAAGATGAAACGCATCAGGCGTTGAAACAAATCCTGCATGTGGAATTATCCTTAATTATCCTCGATGAGGCTGGGAGGCGGAGCTGAAGGGAACGGTCCCGCTCGTTTAGTTCACGTCCCAATGAGCAACTTCCAAAGCAACGGATGGGCCCTGGAGATGCTTTCACGTGCGTGTGCATGTGTGTGTTTGTAGGGCGCCGTGGAGAAGATGTGCAGGGTTTATGAGGACCAGCTGAACGAAACCAGGAGCAGAGCGGAGGAGCTGCAGAGGCAGCTGACCGACGCTTCAGCTCAGAAAGCACGAGCGCTCACAGAAAGCGGTACAACACATACGTGCACACACACACACAGACACACATTCGTGCACACACAAACGTGCATCGACACAGATATAGTCATATATAGATATAGATATAGTAAGTATAGATTTTTTTGAACATGCTCATTATTCCAGCTTTTAATGGAATCATCAAACACAAAGCATGAATTATTTCTATTAATAATAACTGTAAGGCTTTAAGCTCCTCCTCCGTGTTGTTCTCGCAGCCGAGTACAGCCGTCGTCTGGAGGAGCGGGACGCTCTGATTGGTCAGCTCCAGCGCTCCAAAGCCGGGTTTTGCCAGAACTCTGAAGACCTGAAGAGGCAGCTGGAGGAGGAGACCAAAGTAACCCCGAGCCTCTGTGACTCCGCCCCTCATCTCAAGGCTCTTCTGCTTGTCCCGGTCGCCTGAGAGAGCGTCTCACGCGTGTGGCTGTCTTCTTCGTGTGCGTTTCAGGCACGCGTGGCGCTGGCTCACGGCGCGCAGGCGTCCCACCACCTCAGCGCTCTGCTCAGGGAGCAGCTGGAGGAGGAGCAGGAGGCCAAGGCCGAGCTGCAGAGGGAGCTCTCCAAGGCCAACAGCCAGGTGGTCCAGTACAGGGCCAAGTACGAGACCGACGCCGTGCTGAGGATCGAGGAGCTGGAGGGCGCCAAGTGAGACGTGGTGGTGTCGTCATGTATTACAGCAGAGGTCTTCAACGTTTTTCAGGCCAAGGACCCCCAAACTGACGGCGAGATGGAGCAGGGACCCCCCATTCTACGTTTGATCCGCACATGTTGAGCTTGGCTCTTTAGACGTGAGCATGAATGGATCTGATTGGCTGGTGCCTGTGATGTCGCATCAGCGTGAGAGGAGCTGTGAGTGAACCGGTGTCCAGCTGGAGAGCTGCTGTGGGACTGATAGACAACGTCTCAATTTACACAACATGTTGGATTCATGTCAATGTGTATTTAAAGACAATAAATACAAGTCTGATTCTGAAGACATTTCAATTTGTGGAAAAAGAAATTACCAATCAAAAATTCCGCGACCCCCGTTCAGTACCTCTGCGGACCCCCAGCTGAAGACCTCGGTGTTGGGACACGTTGCACACATCCATCAGGATCTCAGGAGCTTTCCTGTAGCTCACATAATGTCATCATTCAGTGAGACTGTGCCTCTGAACTCACGGACGTACAAACGTCTTCAGGGGCGCTTCGGGGGGTTTTCTTCTATTTTTCGCAGCTCTGTGCGCGTGGTTCTAATTTTAGCTGCTCTGATCCGGTCGTTTGTCTCGTAGGAAAAAGTTGGCGTTCAAACTGCAGGCCTCCGAGGAAGCCGTGGAGACGTCTCAGGCCAGGTGTTCCTCTCTGGAGAAAAGCAGACTGTGTCTGCAGACGGAGGTCGAGGACCTGCTGGTGGAGCTGGACCGAACCAACGCCGCCGCTCTGGCTCTGGACAAGACGCAACGCAGCTTCGACAAGGTCGGCGACGCCGGCCGCGACTCCACACGGTCGGGAGCGAGGTCGCTAGACACTAAGTTCTCTGGGGGTTTTGCAGTTGTTGGGCGACTGGAAGCTGAAGTTTGAGGAGAGTCAGACGAACCTGGAGGCGTCGCAGAGGGAGTCCCGCTGTCTGAGCACCGAGCTCTTCAAGCTGAAGACCTGCTACGAGGAAGCGCTGGACCAGCTGGAGACGGTGAAACGAGAGAACAAGAACCTGCGAGGTACCTCAGCGGCCACGTACATCACTTTGGTTCTTTGACCTCCTCTGAGGTCAAGTCTTTAACTCTCAGCGTGGAACATCTCCTGGTGTGAATGAGTGACACATCTACTCAAAGGACTTGAAACCAAATGATCTAAACGAACCTCTGACCTTGTTCTTCATTCATCTTTTTACAAATCAAAAGCAAAACAAAGAACCTGAGAACAAACTCAATGACGTCAAACTGTTTCCAACATCTGATAACTCAGAGGCACTAAATGGTACCATGTAGGGTTCTCTTCTACACCCATTATGAACGGTTATACTGAGAACCATGTGTGAGATGTAATGGTTTCACCTGGAATTCTCCCTGGAGGTACAGAGCATTTTATCTTCCCAAGGATGCTCATAGACACCACAACAGGCCTCAAGGATCCTATCTAGGGTGCAGCGTCATCACAGTGGGTCCTTTTTTGACCCACGTTTTCAACAATCCTTGAAGTACTCGTTCTTCAAAGAAATGTTTTTGGGAGGGCGGAAAAGGCTCTTTAGTTTATCTTCAGAAAAAAGGTTATTCAGAAAAAATTGGGTAGAACCTCTGGCAAGAACCCCGTTAGGAACCCTAGCTTCTTGCTATACGTGACTTTCATAGACTTGCATTGATAATGTGATCAATTGAGCAACTTGTGTTTGTCTCCAGAGGAGATACTGGACCTGACGGATCAGATCGGGCAGGGCGTGAAGACCATCTACGAGCTGGAGAGGATCAAGAAGATCCTGGACGTGGAGAAGAGCGACATCAGAGCGGCTCTGGAGGAAGCGCAGGTGAGCGACTCATCCGGTGTAGATACTCAGTAACAGTCCGCCGAGTGTTCACTGAACCATTCTCCGGCCCTAAGGGAACCCTGGAGCACGAGGAGAGCAAGACCCTGAAATATCAGATGGAGCTACAGCAGATACGTTCTGAGATCGAGCGTAAGATTGCAGAGAAAGACGACGAGATCGAGAACCTCAGGTACCAGAAATATGAGAAATATCATTCAGGGCAGAGTGGTGGAAACATATTACATAATACGTAGTAAACGATGCATTAGCGGATTATCGTAGGAGTAATACCAATTCTGTCCACCAGGCGGGGCCACCAGCGCTGCCTGGAGACCATGCAGGCCAGTCTGGAGGCGGAGGTCCGCGGTCGCAGTGAAGCGGTGCGTGTGAAGAAGAAGATGGAGTCCGACCTGAACGAGATGGAGGTCCAGCTGGGTTACGCCAACAGGCAGGCAGCTGAGGGCCAGAGGACCATCAGACACCTGCAGGCACAGGTAGCCTCACAGATCTACGTCAGGGTGGGAAGGATGGAGACAATGCTGGAGGTCACCCTTTGGATTGCTGGTTGCTGTTTTAGATACGGGGCAGTGGAGGTTTTGGATCCAGAGAAGGTCGTCCACAGCTTGTCCTCAGGTGGATTTCATCCAATGGATGAACATTGATCCAGAACATGAAACAAACCTGGTTATTTGCATTCTTTTGGAACGTTGGGTGTATGAAATGAAAAAGTGTTACAAGCCATTTAAAGTTACTAAAACAAACTTTGTGTTGATGTTGGCGCCCCCAGTGGACTAAAGTGGTAGTGTCTCTGAACATCAGGGTCCCTTCAGAAAACCTCTTTCTGCTGCAGCAGGCTCTCTCCTCTCAGCTCTGGTTGTGGTTCCCTCTGGCCTACCTTTCTTCCAACGGATCCAGCAATGCATTGTGGGTCTCCAGAAAGGAGAAGCCCTTCTCCTGGAGGAGGAGACGCTGCTCTGGAGCCTCGGCTGCAGGTCTGAGGGTCCTAACACATCTCGCTGGCTTCTGTTCTCTCATAGATCCACGAGCAGAAGGTGGATCTTGAGGACAAAGTCCAGTCGGCCAATCAGCTCAGAGAGCAGACCGTCCTCTTGGAGCGCCGTTGTTCCCTAATGGCGGCCGAGGGGGAGGAGCTACGCGGGGTTCTAGAACAAACCGCCCACGGACGCAAGATGGCCGAACACGAGGTGGTGGAGGTGACGGAGAGGCTGCACCTGCTCTCCACGCAGGTACACACACACACACACACACACACAACTATACGCAGTTACACAAACAGACACACACACACAAAGCAGTATTTCATTGATTAACTGATGTATCGACCCAGACATTGATTGGTTCTCTCACTGAGTGATTTCTGTAATTAGTGTTTAATAGACGATGGACGAACTATCTGAATTGATTGACAGATCTGATGATTGACATTAACAGAATAATAGATCAATAAACTGATTTCCCTCTTGACTGATTGGTGTATTGATGTACTGATCAGCTGACGTGCCTCAGTGGTTATTGATCAACTGATCAATGGCCCGCCTGTGTTCCAGCACTCGGCTCTGACGAACCAGAAGAAGAAGCTGGAGGCCGACGTGTCCCTGCTGGCGGGGGAGGTGGACGAGGCCACGCAGGAGAGTCGCGGCGTGGAGGAAAAAGCCAAGAAGGCCATCACCGACGTCAGTGCTGACCCCTGACCTCTGACCTCCGGCTCCCCCTCAGCCGGCTGCGTGTCTTTAAACCTTGTCGGTCCTCCGTGTTTCAGGCGGCTCTGATGGCGGAGGAGCTGAAGAAGGAGCAGGACAGCAGCAGCGTGATGGAGAGGATGAAGAAGAACATGGCGTCCACAGTGAAAGGTACGGAGGTCACAGGCGGCTGGCGTGAGCGTCCCCCCCCCCCCTCCACCCCCCGGCCCCCCCGATGCTGACGTAGCGGTTGCTCCTCTCACAGAGCTGCAGCTCAAACTGGAGGAGGCGGAGCAGATGGTGCTGAAGGGAGGAAAGAAGCAGGTCAACAAGCTGGAGACCAAGGTGAGAGAGGGGACGTCGACCCGGGGGGGTCAGACGGGCCCAGAGTGCCCCCCCCCCCAAAGACACGCCTCATCTTATTCATATAGGTTACACGCTACATGCTGAGAAGATATAGAAAAGTACATGAGTCCTTTCACGCGACTCACACGCAACACAAAAGAAGGTAAATAAGAATAAATAAAAAAGTAACAAGAATAAACAAACATAAATCATTATCCTCTGTGTTATTATATTATATAACATTACGGACTCAATTTCAAGTTAGGACAATACAATAAACAGTAACAGACATATTCAACAATGACAATAATAGTCATGCGGTTGATCGGGTCTCACCTGAACCGAGCTGCTGTGCTCAGGTGAGGGAGCTGCAGACGGAGCTGGGGGCGGAGCAGAGAAGGAGCGAGGAGTACCAGAGGGGAGTCCGCCGCTACGAGAAGAGGGTGAAGGAGCTGACCTACCAGGTCTGATGGGTTCTTTGATGGGTTCTGATGGGTTCTGATGGGCTCTGAGGGTTCTGTGGGTTTCTCACACCGGTTCTCCTGCTGCCAGTCGGAGGAGGAGAAGAAGACTCTGTTGAGGATGCAGGAGCTCATCGAGAAGCTTCAGAGCAAAGTGAAGAGCTACAAGAGACAAGCGGAGAACGCTGTGAGTCTTTGATGAGGTATCGATCCAAACGGTTGGACCGTGTCAAAGAGTGACGAAAAGGTCCTGCTGAGGTAAACCTTCACACAGCTGCTGGACCGGGTCAGCACACAGATGTTTCCCCTCGGTGGAGACTGAACAGGGTCCAGATGTCACGTAACCGACGGGAAAAGGCTTGTTTATCCCGAAGAAGGAACGTGCTTCACTGAATGATCCCGCGCTGTGGTTCCCTCCGTGTCCACCAGGAGGAGCAGGTGAGCTGCAGCACGGTGCGCTTCAGGAAGGTCCGAAACGAGCTGGACGAGGCCGAGGAGAGGGCCGACCTCGCCGAGACCTCCGTCAACAAGCTGCGGATTCAAACACGCAAGCAAACTGGCACGGTGGCCGTGGTGGGGAGCGCTCGTTTCCTTTTGTGGAAATACAAAAGAGTGTTTTTTTTCTAATTGGCTGTCTGTGTTCCTGCAGATGATCGAGTGAAGCTCGAAGGATCCTCAGACACCAGAGCGGAGTTCCTGCTGCACGTACACGTTTAGATCTATAGATCCTTACACTGTATGTACACGTACATACAGTATAATACCACACTGCTGATCATGAACCACGTGGATATTTCTGTGTGTGCGTCTGCTGTGAGCCGGTTTTACATGAAGAAGAAATAAGTGCACATGAGCTACTAGTGAGGATGTGCTGAACAACACGATTATATATCATAGGTTTATTGTACCGACCGTTAGAGATCTAAACAATACATGTTTATTGTACTAAACGATAAAGGTAAAAAAAGGTAATAGTTTTGTAGTACTAAACAGTCTCAGCAGGTTGTGCATACATCAACAGTTAAACTACTTCAGACCGAATTCACACAGTTGTGAGTTTGTACGATTGTTGAAGCTTGTAACTTAGTTTATTATGATTGTTTATTAATCATTTTTAGTCAAATATAAAGCAGAGAGCTGGGAAGAGGGTGAGCTTTGGACAAAATAAAATAATACCTCAAACTACTTCTGCCCCCTGGTGGTCAAAGGTCTTCAGTACACCTTCAAAAAGCACAACCGACCTGCTTTCAGTCACCATGTTTGTATCTATATATTTGTTACGTTTTACTGTTTGAAAACTTCAATGTTCTTTGGGAAAATATAAAAAATAAATACCTTGGTGTTTTTCGACTCATTTAAGTTTTTTTAAAGCAATCCTGGCGCAGGAAGTGAGCATTTATTAGGTGGTAGAGACCTGTCAATCAGCGGGTGGCCCCGCCCTACAGCATCCCCTGCTTTATGGTCTGTTTGACTCTAAATGGACCATCAGTCATTAAATGAACATCATGTTGTGTTGAAGAAGACTTGAAACTAGAGACTGAGACATAAACTCATGTTTACAATGTTTACTGAGGGAATAAATCCAGAGAGAAGTAGAGTCATTTCCTCATAGACGTCTATGGGAGCAGAGGAGTCGCCCCCTGCTGGTCACTACAGAGAAGTAGAGTCATTTCCTCATAGACGTCTATGGGAGCAGAGGGAGTCGCCCTCCTGCTGGGTCACTACAGAGAAGTAGAGTCATTTCCTCATAGACGTCTATGGGAGCAGAGGAGTCGCCCCCTGCTGGTCACTACAGAGAAGTAGAGTCATTTCCTCATAGACGTCTATGGGAGCAGAGGAGTCGCCCCCTGCTGGTCACTACAGAGAAGTAGAGTCATTTCCTCATAGACGTCTATGGGAGCAGAGGAGTCGCCCCCTGCTGGTCACTACAGAGAAGTAGAGTCATTTCCTCATAGACGTTTATGGGAGCAGAGGAGTCGCCCCCTGCTGGTCACTACAGAGGACAGGCTGCAGGGTTTTGTGGATGAAGGTCAGGGGTCACACAGGAACGTGAGGTTGACATGAGCATCTCATCAAAAACCCGTACAAATCCAACTCAGAAGACAAAGTTCATCAGCAGACAAACTGATTCCAGGCGTTTCATTTACAATCCCAATACAAGCAATTAATCCCTGCATTTATAAAAGAACAACACCAAACACTCAGGTGCATTTTGGCATCGGACACTTTATTCACAGACTAAACCAATCAGTGTATCTGGTCGGGGGGGGGGGGGGGGGGGGGGGTCTTACATCAGAATCAACTGGAGGCACACTTCCTGTCTCACCTGGAATATCATCTCATTGGTCGGTTCATCCCTCCTTCCTCCAATCAAAGTGCTTGGCAGTGTGTCCTTCTGTGTGAGTGTGTGTGTGTGTGTGTGTGTCTGTGTGAGTGTGTGTGTGTGTGTGTGAGTGTGTCTGTGTGTGTGTGTGTGTGTGTGTGTGTCTGTGTGAGTGTGTGTGTGTGTGTGTGAGTGTGTCTGTGTGCATTAACATTAACAAATACATTCTAACACAACCAGCTGTTGTTAGCGAGGAGGAACAAACATTCTGGGGTTAAAAACACAAAGCGCCTCCTTAGAAAAATACTCTTTACATGGGGGGGCCGATCCATCACAGGGGGGGGGGGGGGGGGGGGCACGTGACATCAGGAGAACTGTTCACTAAAATCACATTTGGGGTATTTTGTCTGCTCCAGTTTCAGAATTCAGACACGACATGAAACACTGATTAAAAGTCGGTCTGCATTTACTTCACTGGACTGTTCAGCTGTGAGTGTTCAGGTTAAGATGAATTATTAATAATCCAGAAAAACATTTACATGTTTACGACATCTGTATGTTTAGATGGAACGTATGAATTAAAACAATTTTATATTTATAGATGATCAAATCTGAGTTTCATCTTTTCTCACTTGCTGGTGTTCATACGTGTATAAATATGTTATATATATATATATATATATATATATATATATATATATATAAACATACATATACACACGCCTGTACAAACTGGTCTATTTTTCCTCCATTACACATCTTCTTTCAGACAGAAGAGAAATGAGACAAAGTGAAACAAGTAATCGTCTCAATGTTAGTAACCAGCTGTAAAGTTCATGTTGATATTTACGGAGCCAATAGTTTGATGGCGTCTCCTCCTCCTCCTCATCACTAAATATGGCCCATGATTCAGTCACGTGACGACTCGGATGACCTCATCAGGAGGAGCCCCCTCATTGGTCGACATGTCAGCCAATCAGTGCTCGATAAACACAATGGACAGAACCGGATGTTTTCATATCAAAGTGTAAACTGCTTTAATGAAACGAGCGCTGAAAGATCACATTTCACTCGTCGCTGTTATAGCAGACAGGAAGTGACCACATGGTCCGGAGCAAGAAGGTGATTGGTCGCTGATGTTTGATGGACAACATGAGTGAAAGAACCGATTAACAGCTGTAAGTTCTGAGCGCGATGACATCACCATGTAGTCCTCTTTTCATTGTCTCACAAGACATGAAAAGGTTTAAAGTTCAAAGTGCATCTTTTTGTCTTTTTTTACTTGCAATCAAAATGTTCTCATTCGTCACATTTCTTCAGGGCTGCCGTGTTGCATTGTGGGTACTGTAGTCAGTCACCGGGTTAGTAGACCTGTGGCTGTCGTCCGTAATGCTCAAGTTAGTGGGAGAAGTACACAAAATAAAGAATAATTATAGAGGAAATGACATCACAGTTACACCAGCAGTGATGTCAGAGCATTCAAGTTGGTCCGCCTCCGTCTCAGTTTAGTAACTATAGCAACAGGAGGAGGAGGGGGAGGAAAAAGCAAGAAGAGGAGGAGCTGATGAGCGTTTTGTCTCCCTGAGCAGCAGGTTGAGGATGGCCGAGTGATGTCACAGAAATTGCAGAAGCTGATTAGCTGACGGGACGAGGGGCGAGAAAGGCGTGGTTGTCACCGCCCCTCTCAACGACCACGCCCCCCTACGCTCCTTCAGGCTGCTGTAGGTGGAGTCAGGAACCTGCTCCGACCAATCAGGCAGCTCAGCCTTTCCAGCCGTCCCAGATCGGTCCTCTGGATGGACAGAAACCATGGAGGTGAGACACAGAGAGAGAGAGACAGACAAGTGGACAGGTAGGCAGAGAGACAGACAGGTGGACAGGGAGGCAGAGAGACAGACTCAGACGCTTTACATGGTTAAAATACACATAACACAAAGAAAGTAGGAGGAAGACGAGGAGGAAAACTCACAGGGTTCGAGATGATGATGAAGGCTTCTTGATTCTCGGCCACTTCCTCTTCTCAAACACTCTGATACAACACACACACACACACACACACACACACACACACTCTCCATTAGCAGCAGCCATGAGGGAATCATGCAGCATTCAGAGCAGGAAAACACTGTGTGTGTGTGTGTGTGTGTGTGTGTGTACCTGTAGTCATCAAAGCTGCTGTGGTCCCGCCCTCCTGCTGAAGAGACAATCTGATTGGTCAATGAGCTGAAGCCTCTTAGTACATCATAGTGTTCTGATTTTATAGGAGACACCTGAATGCACCATTAATAGCCGAATGGAATGCAAAGGATTGTGGGATACCTTCCATATGTGTGTGTGCGCGTGTGCGTGTGTATGTGTGTGAGAGAGACACACACACCCTGTGTGCCTGGGTTACACTGCTTGTGGCCTCTGCAACCACGGAGCTCCATCACCTGGTTTCTGTGCTGATAGAGGACGTTCTAATCCAAAGACCGGACGGCGTTCCTCATCTAAGGGGAGAGAGACGGGGGGGAGACGGGGGAGACACGGGTGGGAGACGGGGGAGAGACGGGAGAGAGACCGGGGGGAATCGCTTTACTTTCACACTGTGACTTTTTGTGTGTGTGTGTACCTGGTATGGGATTGTGTGTGTCTGTGTGTGTACCTGGTATGGGATTGTGTGTGTCTGTGTGTGTACCTGGTATAGGATTGTGTGTGTCTGTGTGTGTACCTGGTATGGGATTGTGTGTACCTGGTATGGGATTGTGTGTGTCTGTGTGTGTACCTGGTATAGGATTGTGTGTGTCTGTGTGTGTACCTGGTATGGGATTGTGTGTACCTGGTATGGGATTGTGTGTGTCTGTGTGTGTACCTGGTATGGATTGTGTGTACCTGGTATGGGATTGTGTGTACCTGGTATGGGATTGTGTGTGTCTGTGTGTGTACCTGGTATGGGATTGTGTGTGTCTGTGTGTGTACCTGGTATGGGATTGTGTGTGTCTGTGTGTGTACCTGGTATGGGATTGTGTGTGTCTGTGTGTGTACCTGGTATGGGATTGTGTGTGTCTGTGTGTGTACCTGGTATGGGATTGTGTGTGTCTGTGTGTGTACCTGGTATGGGATTGTGTGTGTCTGTGTGTGTACCTGGTATAGGATTGTGTGTGTCTGTGTGTGTACCTGGTATGGGATTGTGTGTGTCTGTGTGTGTACCTGGTATAGGATTGTGTGTGTCTGTGTGTGTACCTGGTATGGGATTGTGTGTGTCTGTGTGTGTACCTGGTATGGGATTGTGTGTACCTGGTATGGGATTGTGTGTGTCTGTGTGTGTACCTGGTATGGGATTGTGTGTGTCTGTGTGTGTACCTGGTATAGGATTGTGTGTGTCTGTGTGTGTACCTGGTATGGGATTGTGTGTGTCTGTGTGTGTACCTGGTATGGATTGTGTGCGTCTGTGTGTGTACCTGGTATGGGATTGTGTGCGTCTGTGTGTGTACCTGGTATGGGATTGTGTGTGTCTGTGTGTGTACCTGGTATGGGATTGTGTGTGTGTGTGTGTACCTGGTATGGGATTGTGTGTGTCTGTGTGTGTACCTGGTATGGGATTGTGTGTGTCTGTGTGTGTACCTGGTATGGGTCCGTGTTGAGGTCAAAGAACTCCAGGAATCCTGTGGCGAACTCACAGAACAGGAAGTTGTGCGTCTCGTTGATGGTCCTCAGACACCAGTAAGTGTTGTTGTTGGCGCTGGTGCAGGCGCAGAATGAACCCACTGCAACACACACACACACACACACACACACACGATGTGCTGTGATAGTTGTGGAAGTTGTAGCGTGTGCTTTTCTGTGTCTGTGTGTGACTGTGTGTGTCTGTATGCGTGTTTGTTTCTATGTGTGGGTCCTACGTGTCCAGTAGGGTGCGGTGTGCCAGTGCTGGTTGTCGTGGGTGAAGCATGTGAGTCCCGGCATCGAACACGTGTCGTTGTTTCTGATCCTCTTGATTATCTTCCTCATTTTCTTTCTCCTCTTCTGCTCCTTCAGAAGCCACGCCTTCTTGTCCCGAGCCCCGCCCTTCCTGCGCACACACACACACACACACACACACACACACACACACACTTGAAGGTGTTTTCTATGGAGGTTAAATGATTGAAATTGGCAGAAAGATGAAACCTCGGATGTGAAAACTTAAATGAAGTGACATCATCAACAATGAAGTCTCCTGATCAACAAATCAGACAACTTTGTCCGTATAACCCAGACTGGGACAGACCAGGGACATGTCTCACCTGAAGGGGTGTCCTCCGACTCCTCGGTACCTCAGCTTGTTCTTTAGCTTGGACTTGTACCTGTGGGACACACATGTTAACACCAGCATGGATGTGTGTGTGTGCGTGCGTGTGTGTGTGTGCATGCGCGTGTGTGTGTGTCTCACTCACAGGTATTTATTACAGTCACACTCCAGGGGGCGGGGCCTTTCTTGAGGTGACCTCTGACCTCTCTCAGGTTCTTTATCTTTGTCTGCAGTGTCTCAATCTGACAAAGTGAAGTTATTACATTACTTGTACAGGTAATGTAACAGAGTATTTCCCTGTGTACTTGTACTAGTACTCAGCTGTCACCTCGTGGTCGATGTGCAGCTTGTGGTCCTTCCAGGCCTGGAGAGTCTGGTACACGCCGTGTCACACTTCACCGTGGTGTTGGGCAGGATGGAACATCTGCAGGAACAAGAGAAGGAGATAGTTTCCCATCGAGGTCACGGAGAAGTGGTTAGGAAAGGAGGTGAGGAGGTCACTCTGACACCTCTTATAAGCACCTTGACTCACCTGTGAGTGACCTTGTGGGAGGTGGGTGTGGCCACACCGCCGGTAGCTCCTCCCATCCCGCTGAACTCGTCCTCCAAGCCGGTCCCCGTCGGCCGAGGCCACTCGGCTCCGCCCCCCAAGCTGTGGTTGCCGGGGTAACTGTTGGTCATGGCGACGGAGCGGCTGTAGCGATTCCTGGAGTAACTCTTCAGAGCTTTGACCTCTGACCCCACAGCAGCAGAAAGAAAACATCAGAATGACCTCATGGACAGAAGAGTGAGTCACTTCCTCGGAGAGGAGGCGGGGCTACACAGAATGAGGACATCGGGGTGCGGGGCGGGGCGGGGCGGGGCGGTGCAGTTCACCCCGAGGCCACTAGAGGTCAGCAGCACGTCATCAGCCGGAAATATTCAAAGTTGGAATTAATGGGAATAAACTGGAAATTTTGGGGTAATTTAACTGTATTTACCTTGACATAAGAAGACATGCATGCAAACACTTCTAACACAACTTTAAAAGACACGGTTCTACCGATGACGTCGTTATTGTAACCAGCAATAACGTTGATGTGAGTTGGGAGGCGTCAGTCAGCCTTTCTAACATTAGCACGTTACTTACATACTACTACTAGTACTACTACATTACTGCTGTAAAAAGTGAGTCTACTGTATACAAATAAACTTGGTATTAAAATGAACATGGCTTCAGTTTACCAAGTAATCAACATGCTGGGTAATGACAAAGATTATATATATATATTCATACTTTTGATGAATAAATAAGTAAATGAACGTTTCCATTTTAGTCTCCATTAGTTGCTGTTGTTTGTACATTAATCCTTAATGAATTTGACAGATGTCCATCTCGTCTCGTACGCGAGGACTCACTCTTCTTGTAGAAGAACGGCTTCTTGTTGAAGGGCCTTGGTTTCAGAGGTCGGAGGTCGCAGTCGCAGCCGGCATTGGCGTCCCGTCGGTACAGCTGAGACTTTGCGCTGATTGGACGCTGTCGACCGTCCACGCCCTTAGCCCCGCCCCCGTCGTGCTTACACTTGAAGAGCCGGAGCTTCCCCGTGGCGTCCTCCACGCACTGCCACTTCTACGCTCAAAGAGAAGAGGGACACGGGTATTCGTGGTTGTCATGACGACGGGTTGTCAGCTTCTCTTTAGCATTTTCTTTAGCCTGCTGGCAAAGAATGCAAACAACCAACATATCCAACATATCCATAACCAAGTGTGTCAACCTCAGGCCCTGAAGGCGGCGTGCGTGACGAAGCATCATCATCGCCATCATCATACCACACACACACTCTTTATCTGTGCCATCCGTCAGCCGGCGGCATTTTTCAAAGAGTGTAAAAACACGTCTCAGTTCTCTTTGATCCTGCTCGGTTCCTCCTGGTCCCAGTCAGGACAAGCGGACTGGGACCAGGAGGAAGAAGAGTTACCTGTCCCGTCTGCTGACAGGGCGTCTGGTACTCAGCTCTCTGGCAGAGGTCTTTTACTCGTTGGTATTTGGGCAGGAAGTTCTCCTCCTGGGACACTTCCTTCCTTTCCACCAGCTGGTGCAGCAACTTCCTGTTGACGCACACGGAGAAGACTCATGTTGTCTCAAGTCTTCTGAAGCTTCTGAGAGCAGGTTGTGATCCGTACGCGGTGTAAGACCCTCTCATCCAGGTTCATGCTCCCATGGTGTAGTGGAAGACGGATGTGAGGGTTTACACAGGTGGTGTCGCGGTGGATTTACCCTCTCTCCACCAGGAAGGAGTCCCTCCACACCTTCGGCTTCTTCGTCACCTGGAACCTGAAGGAGAGCGAAAGCGCATAAGTGCACCATATGTATACCGTATGCATACAGGAAGTGCACCATATGTATACCGTATGCATACAGGAAGTGCACCATATGTATACCGTATGCATACAGGAAGTGCGCCATATGTATACCGTATGCATACAGGAAGTGCGCCATATGTATACCGTATGCATACAGGAAGTGCACCATATGTATACCGTATGCATACAGGAAGTGCGCCATATGTATACCGTATGCATACAGGAAGTGCACCATATGTATACAGTATGCATACAGGAAGTGCGCCATATGTATACAGTATGCATACAGGAAGTGCATCATATGTATACAGTATGCATACAGGAAGTGCGCCATATGTATAAAGTATGCATACAGGAAGTGCATCATATGTATACCGTATGCATACAGGAAGTGCGCCATATGTATACCGTATGCATACAGGAAGTGCACCATATGTATACCGTATGCATACAGGAAGTGCACCATATGTATACCGTATGCATACAGGAAGTGCACCATATGTATACCGTATGCATACAGGAAGTGCACCATATGTATACCGTATGCATACAGGAAGTGCACCATATGTATACCGTATGCATACAGGAAGTGCGCCATATGTATACCGTATGCATACAGGAAGTGCGCCATATGTATACCGTATGCATACAGGAAGTGCGCCATATGTATACCGTATGCATACAGGAAGTGCGCCATATGTATACCGTATGCATACAGGAAGTGCGCCATATGTATACCGTATGCATACAGGAAGTGCGCCATATGTATACCGTATGCATACAGGAAGTGCGCCATATGTATAAAGTATGCATACAGGAAGTGCACCATATGTATACCGTATGCATACAGGAAGTGCACCATATGTATACCGTATGCATACAGGAAGTGCACCATATGTATACCGTATGCATACAGGAAGTGCACCATATGTATACCGTATGCATACAGGAAGTGCACCATATGTATACAGTATGCATACAGGACGTCATCAGTTAATGATGACATGATGGCAAGTGAACGCGCTATGGGGGCGATTAATACATCTACAGCACACACACACACACACACACACACGGTGGTTTGAGGTAGAAGTAGATTCCAGGGCAAACTGAGTGAGGAGAAGAGAACCTAAACACCTAAAATGATCATGTGACCTCGAGTGAATCAGGCTGCAGTACGAGAACATGTGGATGAAAACAACCATCAAAAACAATCATCCCCAAAGTGTGTGTCTGTGTGTGTGAGTGTGTGTCTGTGTGTGTGAGTGTGTGAGTGTGTGAGTGTGTGTCTGTGTGTGTGAGTGTGTGTCTGTGTGTGTGAGTGTGTGTGTGTACCTGTTGGCAGGTTTGTCCGTCTCCAGCAGGGACAGGATGGACTTCCCGTCCATGTCTGCAGGCGTGTCCATGCCGGCGATGTCCAGGATGGTCGGAGCCAGATCGATGTTCAGCACAATGTGAGGGTTACTGACACACACACACACACACGCGCACACACACACACACACACACACACACCATCATTTATGCACACAAAAAGGTATACATTATGAAACAATAATATTAATACAAAAAATGCAGATAATAAACAGTCAGTGTGATAAAAAATAATAATGAAAATAACAACAGTAATGACAGTAATAATAATAAAATGATAATGCTAAAAATATGAATTATTGTGACAATAACAATTATAATAATATCAATGACCCGAACAATACAAGTGCTAATGATAATAACAATAGATATTAGATAAATATGCTAATAGCGATAGTATGTAGAATGTGTTTTGTTTGATATTTTAAACTTGATAAAATGTAGAAGGAAGTTCTCTCTCTGAACTCATGAAACGGACTCCAATAATCAACTTTACCAGAACCCACACAAGTGTGTGTGTGTGTGTGTGTGTGTTTACATGGTGCCTTGCTCCACGTTGGGTCCTCTAATGAAGAATGGGACTCTGATGTCAAACTCGTACGGCATGGATTTACCTGCGCGCGCACACGCACACGCACACACACACACACACACACACACACACACACACACACACAGTGAGTACGTCTCACTTCACTGTTCACACTTCTCCATCCTGTGTGTCTTTCTACCTTTGACGAGGCCGAACTGTCCAATGTGGTACCCGTGATCGGAGGTGTAGATGATGTAAGTGTTCTCCACCTCCCCCGTCTCCACCAGCATGTTGTAGAGCTGGAATGTGAGGGGGGGGGGGAGACAATGCGTTTAGATCATTTTCAGGTTAATCCACTGATGGATTGTAGTGTGTGTGCGTCCTCCACCTGCTCCACGCTGTCGTCCACAGACAGCAGTGTCTGCAGCCTCTTCCTCTGCAGCATGTTGGTGAACTCCATGTGGACCGGCCTCATGCGGCCTGTGTAGCGCATGATCCAGTGCTTGTCCTGGTTGGGGGCGTAGTTGTAACTGGGAGTACTGGTGGAGGACGAGAGTGACATTGGACAGTGGGTTAGAGACGGGTGGGGGGGAACTTCAGCGTGTTCCATAGGTAATGAATGTGTCACTTCACACAGCTACAAGGGGTGCGTGTGCGTGTGCGTGTGCGCCCACATGTGCTGCGAGGCGTTGGGGAAGGCGGTGCTGTACTGCGGGGCCGAGTCCTCGGGTCCGTGCGGCGCCGCGTGGCTCAGAACCATCATCACGGGCCGGTGGGGGTAGAGCCGCTTAGAGGACCGGAAGTACCGGATGGACTCCAAGGTGATGAGGTCAGTGAGGTAGTCCTGGAGACACGAGGGGACAACCGGGGACACACAGGGACACACCGCCGTCACTGGCTCATCAAAAATTAGCATTAGCAGCATTAGCCTCCCTCCCTAGTTACCGTGGTGACGGTTACAGCCTGCCTAATGACAACTAAATAAACAATGTGTATTTTTTGTTGTTATTGTTCTTGTTCGTACTGCACTCTGTGTGTGTGTGTGTCTATGTGTGTGTACCTGGGGGTACTGCTCTGTGTGTGTGTGTGTGTGTGTGTGTGTGTACCTGGGGGTACTGCGCTCCATGCTTCTCTCTCACCCCGTTGCGGCTCAGTGTGTAGTTGTAGAAGCGGCTGTTCTTCACCAAGCCGAGCCACTGCCTCCAGCCGGGGGGGACGTAGGAGCCGTTGTACTCGTTCAGGTACTTCCCGAAGAACGCTGGGGGGCACACAGACACACACACACACACATACACACGCACACACACACACACATAGACACACACAGCAGTTGAAGGTAGTATTACTTCACAAGTGAGTGAGTGTGCGTGTCTGTGCGTGTGTGTGTGTCTGTGTGTGCGTGTGTGTGTGTGTGTACCCGTCCTGTATCCCGTGCTGTTGAGGTAGACCCCACAGCTGCGTGGCTCACGCTGCCGTTGCCATGACGGCGAGGAGCACTTCTCGTTGTTGGTGTAGGTGTTGTGGTTGTGTACGTACCTGAGGAAGATGTTACATCAGATTATTTATCTCTCTCTCTCTCTCTCTCTCTCTCTCTCTCTCTCTCTCTCTCTCTCTCTCTCTCTCTCTCTCTCTCTCTCTCTCTCTCTCTCTCTCTCTCTCTCTCTCTCTCTCTCTCTCTCTCTCTCTCTCTCTCTCTCTCTCTCCCTCTCTCTCTCCTTACTTCCCAGTGAGCATGCTGGAGCGTGACGGACAGCACATGGGCGTGGTCACGAAGGCGTTGGAGAAGGAGGTCCCGCCCTCCTCCATGATGCGCCGGGTCTTGTTCATGGCCTGCATGGAGCCTGCGCAGAGAGATACTTCACTACCATATTAACACACATATACTATTAACACATATCCGGAGTACAAGTATTCATGTAGTATACTGTAATAGAAGAGTATTAAAGTGACGTAACAATACAATAAGTTATTGGTGCTCTGTGTGCAAAATATCATTTAAATTTCAGAGAAAACAGATGTTTGTTTGTTTGTTTGTTTGTTGCAGCCACAGCGACGTGTTGAGAGAACGATCACGTGTAATAAGTCACCCAGCTCCTGGTCCTGGTCGTCCGTCAGGATGAGGATGATGTTCGGCCGGATGTTGCGGCGGTCTCTCTGGAGGCGGGGCTTCAGACGCTGGCCAGAGGAGAAGTGGGCGTGGCCAAGCGCCGCAGAGACAAACATCAAGAGGAGGAGTCGGCCCGCCATGACCTTTTCGACCCCCTGAAACGGGTGAACCAATCAGACGCAGAGACGACTCCACTTCTGGAAAAGAGCAGAGGAGCGGATGAAGCTCGCCGGCAGTGGGAATTGAACCTGCGAGCCCGCGGGCGAGTCTAGTAACTCGTCGACATCACTTCCTGTTTGAAAAGGCCGTAGAAGTAAACAGGTTCTGGTGTTGAACAACGTTGTTGTTGTTGTGGTTCTTGTTGTGTCAGTGCGCTACGTGATGCCGTGTGTTTAGCGTGTGGAGAGACACACGTCCCCACCGTGTGGCGGCGTCTTTACTTCCTAAACGTACTCCGACGTTAGCGAGGAACCAAGTCTCTTGCAATGACTTCTGGGTAATCACAGCTCTGTGTGCGAGTCTCAGTATTGATTTCATATCAACGGTTAATCAAGAGTACTTTGTAAGTTGTACTAAAAACACATTAGAATTCAGTAAAAAGACAAGGTATGCACACGCATGCACACGCGCACACACACACACGCACACACACACACACACACACACACACACACACACACACACACACACACACACACACACACACGCAAACGCACATTAATTCGAGTTAATGACGTCATGGTTGAGAACATCGAGGCCTCGTCCTGTTCCCGTACGTTTAGACGGGACAGGAAGTAACAGATGTGGATCAGCGATGAACCCAACATCTGGAGCAAACAGGCCAGATGTTGCCCGCCGTGAGCCCACAGTAATCCTCCCGTTTGGGTTACGTCATCTGGTCTGGTTATGGAAGCGACCTCCGAGCCGACCTGCGTGTTGTGCTGGTGCCCCTCTGTCCATCAAAGCTCATCAACATTCACAGGCGGGGGCGGGGCCTGGCGGGGGCGCCGGGATGTGTCAAGTGGCAGTAAATAGAGATGTTTATTTTATATGCAGAGTTGCGGTGACAAGAGGTCAAAGGTCAGCTGAAAGCCACGGTAACGGAGTGCAGCCCAGAGGCCGGACGCACAGTTCATCACCGATACTACAGACGGTTATCAATTAACAGCAGGTTCCTTTTAACCCCGATAGCCAGCAGCTGTACTTCCTGTTTGCAGGAAGAACAAACACAACCAATAAAAACAAGAATGAAGGGATTCTGTTCAGTTAGGAGCGCTAGACACAAATAAATCCATTTGGTGTAAATATTAGGAGCTTTCAAACGTGATTATTTCATCTGGCAAAATAAAAAAAGGCTGAACGGCCGTATATATATAATATATATTATATATATATATATATTATATATACTATATTATATAGAATATATTAAATATAATATTATACAATATATATGTATTATATATAATATATGTATGTATTATATATACACTATATATATATATCACAATATATATATATATATATATATATATATACACAATATATACACACACCCATATTATACACCTACACACATCGGCCGTATAGGAAGCGATACCATGTGGCAGCGGTTCTCCTCTCCGCCTCCATTGAGCGGCGTGACGATGCTTTAGAGAGATCTCCACGTTGCTCAGAGGTCTTTGAGGGATTCTAGTAGCGAACGCTGCGGTGCGATACTGTTGGTACGTAGATGATCCTCCACAGGCACCTCGGGACCACCATGTTGTTTTGCGTTGCTCTCTGAGCGGTTTGTCCACTGCACATCAGCCGACATTAGTCTCTTATTTATTGATCTTCTCTCCTTACAAATAGCTGGAGGCTGAGAGCATCCATCAGCTACACTCTCCTCCTCCTTTTACCCGTCCTCCACCTCCACCTGGAGACCTGCTGACCTGCTGACCTGCCAGCTCACATGAGAGTAAACAGCTGCTGAGTTCACCGTGTTGGTTTTAAGGGGTCAACATTTAAGCTCAGGGCCTCGAGCAGGACCTGGACCTGGAGGACTGGAGAGACGTGTCCTGAAGTGACAAGTACAGTGACAGAGACGTGTCCAGCGCCTCTGCGTCCTCCTCAGATACCCAGTGCTTCCTGTTCTTTGGTAGCAAAAACAAGATGGTGACGTCTAAATAGACAAACTCGACGCTTCACAGCAACTACGTCCACTTCCGTCCCGACTGCCCCATTTCTCAAGTCGAAGTGTCCCTGAGCAAGACACCTAACCCCTAATTGCTCCCCGGGCAGAATGTGAAAAGCCACGGGTTTAAAGTGTAACGTAAGTCGCTTTGCTAAATGACCTGTGATGTAACATTAAATGTCAGCAGCTAACGTGGCCTCGTAACCGCTGTTGCGAGCTGGAAACGAAGCACAACACAGCGCGTTTCACAGAGAGACAGGTCGATTAAAATAATAGAGGGCGAAAATACATCATCACTCCGACCCCCCTCCCCCTCCCCCTCCGGGTGGTTCATCCATCCTGCCCACTGAGAGACAGAAATAGAGTGATAGCGAGCAGGAGAGCTCTGCTGGGAGATGACCACCTGACACACACAAACAGACACACACAAACGATTCACAGTGGTTCTGACTGACTCGCTCTGTATTTATAGACTAGATCTTGGCCGCAAACAACGGTTTGATGCCTTCAAGTCAGGCTTTCGACAGCACCACAGTACGGAAACAGCTCTTGTTAAAGTTTTCAATGAGATCCACTTAAACACAGACAATGGCAGGACTTTAGTCTTACTGGATGTCAGCGCAGCATTTGACATACTGATAGAATAATCTACTGGGTGGGACTCTGGTACAGATCTTAACTGGATTGAAGCTGGAGAATACTTTGTTTCTGTAGCTAATTACACATCAGAGCTGAAGAAAATGACACGTGGTGTTCCCCAAGGTTCAATACTGGGGCTCCTTCTGTTCAACTTGCTATAGATAAGAACCATTATAAGTCCAATGTAAGTGCTACAGGTAGTTAGTGTGTTAGTGGAGGTAGAGTCTGAAGAGGTGTGTCTTTAGTCTGAAGATGTGAAGGCTCTCTGTGGTCCTGATGTCTTCAGAGACCTCCTTCCACCATTTAGGAGCAGGACAGCAAAGAGTGGAGATCTAGTCGAGTGTTTTGCTCTCAGTGAGGAGGAACAAGCAGTTTATCACATGCAGAGCGGAGAGGTCAGAGGTCGGGATGTCGGGTTGGACCAGGTCCTGGATGTAAGCTGGACCCCATCCATTCACAGCATGGTACGTGAGCACCATGTTTAGAACTGGATGAGCCACCGGTACCAGTGAAGAGAGCGGAGGAGTGGAGGAGTGAGTGAGAACTTAGGAAGGTTAAAGACCAGTGGAGCTGCTGCATTCTGGATGAGCTGCAGAGGTGGAATGGTGGTAGCAGGAGACCTGCAGGAGAGAGTCACAGTAGTCCAGGAGGGAGACGACAAGAGCCTGAATCAGTACCTTCTGAGTGAGAAGAGGACGTGTTCTCCTGATGTTGTAGAGCGAGTATCTACAGGATGGTGTTCAACATCTACATTATCATTGAAAACAATGAGTGTGTTATCATAGTTATGCAGATGACACACACATCTATATAACTACATCACCAGGGGACTACAATCCAATACAGGGATGGATAAATGCACTGAACAAAACAACTGGATGTGTCAAAACTTCCTTAAATACATGATAAAACGGCCTTGTTTGGTAACAAGGATGAACGATGAAGTCGGCGCTGAGCTTCAATCACTGATGTTAAAAACCACAAACCAAGCTAGAAATCTAGATGTAATTATGGATTGTGATCTCAACCTGCACATATTATTATATGTAAGATGCTCTTGTGACTTTAAGATGACTCTTTCTGATATGTAAGTCAATCAGAAAGAGTCCTCACTGGGACCAGGAGGGTGGATCACATCACTCCAGCTCTCAGGTCTTCACACTGGCTTCCTGTTGACTGCTGTTGGGCTGTAAAGCACCGAGTGGTTTAGGACCAAAGCACATTTCTCATCTGCTAATTCATTAGGATGTAAACTATTAATCCTCAATCAGTCCATCAGTCATCCTACTGTCTGACAAATAGTGTCGACGTGACATCCTTCTCTGGTCAGCGATTCCTCTCACGTCCGCCTCAATCCCTCGAGTGAGGAGGAGGAAGAGGTGAAGGTACATTCTCTCTCTCTGCAAAGCATGACCGGCCTGCTGATGGAAGGATTACGCACACGCACACACGCACACACACACACACACACACACACACACACACACACACACACACACAAAACCTAGTGAGAGAAGTAATGACTTTCTGCCCTCTTTCTCAATTCACTCCGACCTGCCAATTCCCACTAGTCTGCAGTGTGTGTGTTTGTGTGTGTGTGAATGTGAAAGAATCAGAGAGCAGGAGACACAAGGGAGGTGATACAACATCTCCAATTATCTGGGCTGGTGGTCTGCAGTGTGTGTGTGTGTGTGTGTGTTGGGTAATGACACCTCATGATGTCTATGTGAGACTTCAACAAGTCGTTTTTTTATTTTTTTTAACGGTTTACGGAGGAAATAAATGACTGAGCTGATGGCGGTTTCCATGGAGATAAGCCCCTCCCCCTCTCTGCCACATATAAAGAGAAGCAAGAATAATCTGATGAAAATGTGCGTTGCATTGGTGTGAAGCAGGTGAACGCGCACACACACACACACACACACACACACACACACACACAGGGGAGATGTGTGATAAGAGGTCGGAATTGACGTTCTGAGATAAAGAGTTTGTGTGTGTGTGTGTGTGTGTGTTTTCCTCCAATTCTCATTTCACGCTTCAGTGAAAAGCTTCTCAACCTACAAGATCTTCCTTCCTTCCTCTTTCGTTTCCTCGGACCCAAAACGCACGAAAACCGACCAAACACAAAGTCTGAGGCCGATCAGGAGGAGGGATTACAGCTCCTTGTTCCCTCGGCTCCTTGTTCCCTCGGCTCCTTGTTCCATCACACATCATTTATCTGACGCTTTTATCCAAAGCGACTTACAATAAGAACATTTAACCATAAGGACACAAACTCAGAAGAACAAGAAACAAGAAAGTGTGATTTCATTAAATAAGCCGATGTACAACTTGTTATAGATGAGAACCATTAGAAGTCCACTGTAAGTGCTGCAGTTAGAAGAGAGCGGAGGAGTGTGGGAGAACTTCCTCAGCTCCTTGTTCCCTCAGCTCTACTTTCAGTCCTTGTGTGTTCCCTCAGTAGCATCTTCTCATGTCCTTCTCTGAAGGAGTGAACCGCTGGATTTCAATTTAAACGTCCCCATAAAGAATACAGATGAGTTCAAACTAAATACTAAACTCTCCTGAAGTGTTAAAATCGACGTAGAAGTCTGGTGTTCGATTGTCGTTTCTTGATGAACAGAGAAATGTTTTTAATGTATTCAGATTTAACGTCATCTAAACCTTCAGATGTCTCGTAGGAGAGGAGAGACCACATGGGGGAGGAGACTAGAAGAGGAAACAAGGTGGGAGAAGGAGAGATGATAAGAAGACTAGGACACTGGGAGAGAGGGCAAGGAAACAAGGCAAGGAAACAGAACCAGGAGAGGAAACAAGGATATTTAAATTTTGCTTTTGATGCTGCAAAAAGAACCAAGCAGATTTTCTCTGGTTTCAAGTACAAACATGTTCAGCCCAGCAGGATTATTAGAAACCTCATTAACAATAACGTGTGTTATTCATATTAATGTTTACACACACACACACACACACACACACACACACACACACACACACACACACACACACACACAGTTAATCCCTGTCGTGTCCTGACAACACAAGCGTCCGTCAGTCGGACTCATGAAGGCAAACAGTAGAAGTTCTGAGTCAGTGAACAGTTTGAGTACAAGCAGAACTACAATGGAACTGTCTGTCTGTCTGTGGTCACCAGTCTGTCTGTGGTCACCAGTCTGTCTGTGGTCACCCGTCTGTCTGTGGTCACCCGTCTGTCTGTCAGTTTCAAACAAATGTTTTCTGATCATTTGTATTAAATACAATGTGTAATAATGTGTTTATGTGTAACAAATACAAACTAACCACCGAGTTGTTACTTTGACTTGAAAGAGGAAAAAGGTTTCATCTTATTTTGAATGTTGATTTTTTTTTTTTACTCAAAATCTTTAAATAAAATTTATATAGTTTGTCTACGTGTACTAATTAAGCAATACAAAGGTACTTGAAGCAGTACTTTATCGTCCAATAATGTAACAGAGGGGGTGTTGTTCGGCCTGATGGCCGGCAGCCCTCAAACTGGTACATTATTGAAGATAAAGTACTGCTTCAAGTACCTTCTTGCTTTTATAATACGGTTACCAACCAAATTAAAATTAGTATGTAAATAGTTTCCTTTCAGCACAAAATAGTTGTAGCCACCAAACGTTGTTTATCTCATTTCAGTGGTCTAGAGAAGAAATAGTCCCTGTACGTGCAGGTAAACAGCATCGGGTCTCCTTGCAAGATCTCGCACCATCTCGTTCATTCACATCTCTCATGACGTCCACCTGAACAGTTGTGAAAGCTCCCATTACCCCAAACGCATCAAACGCATCAAATCCATCAAACCCATCAAACGCATCAAATCCATCAAACCCATCAAACGCATCAAATCCATCAAACGCATCATTTGTGGGATTTCCCGTCTTATTTCCCACCGGTTGGTCCAAACTGAACCGCTGCTTCTGACCTTTTATCTGAAACCAGGATCCATCTTCTGGGGAACAGGAATGCCTCTGGGGGGGTTTATCCTCTGGGGAACATCAGCATGTATCTTAGCACTTGAGCAGATACTTGAAGCCCTTTTGTGTGAGGCTTCTTCACAACGGACCTTTTTCAATATTTAAATGTCAACTTTCAGTTTACAGGGTTTTTTATAACCTTTTGTTAACTACTCAAAGTAATATTACAATAAAACAGCTGCCTTCTTTCCTTCCTCTCCCTCCCTTCACGTCCTCCCTCTCCCTCCTGACCGACCTCAGTGTTGCGCAGCTGTAACACACTCCCACGTGTTCCTCAAGCAGGAAGCAATGAACACACGCACGCACACACACACACACACACACACACACACACACACACTGCTGCAAACAAGTGTGAACACAACACGCCTTGGAGCAGGAAAAGTGGAGCAACGCGCGCGCGCGCACACACACACACACCTCGTCGGTCCATGAGTGACCTCAGAGCAGCGAGAAGAACCTGATCATATAGAACAGAAGCTGTCCTGACCTCCTTCTCCTCGCGGTCAGCAGGTGTCCTCCCCTCCACCACGGCTCAGGAGGAGGAGGAGGAGGAGGAGGAAGATCGCACGCTCCTCTCCTCCGCACAACTGTTGCTCCTCCGGCGGTGGAACTTGGTGCTCACGCTGACATGTCTTCCTGGGTCTTTGCAGAGGAGGAAGAGGAGGAGGGGGAGGAGGAGGGAGGAGGGGGGGAGGAGGAGGAGGTGTCACTCTGTCGCTTTTCTCCGGCCCGGAGTCTCCGGAGCTCCTCCCTCTGCTTCGTGTCCGCCGCCGCTGGTGAAGCCATCTGCTGCGTCTGCTGCTGCCTCTCCACTTTCACTCTCCTCCCTCCCTCCCTCCTCCCCCTCAGAGAGAGAGAGCGAGGGAGGGAGGAGCATCGGGCCCGCTGTCAACCAATGGGGAGGCTCCGAAATTGCTCTCTCTCTCTCCGACCAGAAGGGGGAGGACAAGTGAAATAAATAGTGGCGGAGGGGAGGTTTGCGGAAGGGGGGGGAGTGGGGGGGGAGAGTCGGGGGGACACGCACTCATTGTGTGGCCAAAAATATGTGGACAGAAGCTTGAGCTTCTTTCATTGGAGGAACTGTGTTTACCTCAGTGAAGTTAAGGGTAATTCTACAGATATATTTACCATCCATCTGCAAACCGCTCATCCTGCACACAGGGTCGCAATATATTTATTATATTTATATATTTAGTTTTTATATTTACTGGAAATTGTCCTTCACAACTTAATATACTTTCATGTTTCAAGGGCTCGTTGTGTAAACTTTATTCAATGTTTCTGAACAGAACATTTAGTTTTCTCAAATAACTTTTAAATTTCTAGTATAACAATGTCAAGTAATACAATAACGTAACAATTTAACAACGCAAGTAACATAACAATGTAGCTAATTGAATGTAACTATAATCTAACTACACAATGTAGTAAAACAGTATGAGAAAGGGAGATATACATTTGTATGTCATCTGCATAACGATGACATACAAATGTATTTAATTATGTTGAGCTTGAAAGAAACGTGCTAATGAATACAGATGCGGCCCCCAGTGCTTCCTTCAGGAACACAGCAGAAAGAAACGGCAACATGGCAACAAAGAGAAAAACCCAGAAGAAGACGAGTCAGAACGTGAACACACACCTGAAGGGTCTCATGTCCAGTGGCCAAATACTTCAGGCCGCGCAGCGTGAGGAAGATTCAAAGGGAGAGCGGCACACAAGGGGGAGATGGGGAGGAAACGAGAGTGGGGGGGTGAAGAGGAGGTGTAGGGCCCATTGCATGGAGCTGTTGGCAGAGCTCCTGGCGGTTCATGGGTATTCATGTAGCTGGTGGATTCAGATAAAGGAAGCGAACACAGGGAGTCGAGGGGGGAGGCAAAGGGGGGAGACAAGTGTGGGGGGGAGGTTGCGGGTGTCGCGTTTCAGCTGAACAAGGAGTCTCCTCCTGCCGATCCCACAGACAAGATAAACGGGGGGTCTGATTCCGTTAAATCGCATCACATCGCTTTTATCCAAAGCGACTTACATCACACTTTAAACCCACGGCTTTTTCAGCCGGGGAGCAATTAGGGGTCAGGTGTCTTGCTCAGGGACACTTCGACATGGAACATGAGGCAGCCTGGACTCGAACCACCAACCTTGTGCTTCCCAGCACACCTTCTCTAACCCCTGGTTTCAGCAGGTAAAGGTTTGTGCTGGTTGATAGTTGAGGTTAGTTCATATGTTCTCGCCATGTTGATAATTTAATATCTTCTTTTAGCGGCGTTTTTGGTCTCCACCATGAGAAATAGCTGCTTAAGGCTCACAAGTGGCTCACAAGTGCGTCAAGCTCCTGAAGTTTGCGGATGACACCACCCTCATTGGACTGATCTCTGGTGGGGACGAGTCCGCCTACAGGTGGAGTCTGACCATCTGGTGTCGTGGTGCAGTCAGAACAACCTGGAGCTCAACGCTCTAAAGACAGTGGAGCTGGTTGTGGATTTCCGGCGGAACAGAGCCCCACCCTCCCCCATCACCCTGTGTGACTCCCCCGTCACTTTCCTGGGCTCCATCATCACCCAGGACCTCAAGTGGGAGCTGAACATCAGCTCCATCACCAAGAAGGCTCAGCAGAGGTTGTTCTTCCTGAGGCAGCTGAAGAAATTCAACCTGCCAAAGACTATGATGGTCCACTTCTACACGGCCATCATGGAGTCCATCCTCTGCTCCTCCATCACCGTCTGGTACGCTGCAGCCACAGCCAAGGACAAGGGCAGGCTGCAGCGTGTCCTCCGCTCTGCAGAGAGGCTGATCGGCTGCAACCTGCCGTCCCTGCAGGACTTGTACGCTTCCAGGTCTCTGAAGCAGCTAAAAAGATGGTAGCCGACCCCTCCCACCCCGGACAAAACCTGTTTGTGCCCCTTCCATCTGGCAGGAGGCTGAGGTCCATCAGGACTAAGACCTCCCACCACACCAACAGTTTCTTCCCGTCGGCAGTCGGGCTCATCAACAGAGCCGGTCCCCCACTGACTGACTATAACATTCCACCGGTCACTCCCCTTCACACTGCACATGTCACTTTCTGCTCCCACGGTGCACTTTATTTTTAATTTCTAAATATTTTTAACTTTAACTTTTATTCCTTTATTTTTAAACTCACCCATAGCCTTATATTTTATTTTATTCCTCGTGCACTGTTGTCTTGTCCATTGTCGTACTGTCTGCTGTTACGCACCAACCGCCAAGTCAAATTCCTTGTATGTGTCACGGTGTGGTTTTATTTCCTGTCTTATTTTGTAGTTTTCTGCTTCTTGTCTCCCTGGGTAACTTCACTTCCTGCCTTGTCCCCCCCCCCCCCCCGGTACTTGTGTGTGTTTTTGCCTGTTGGCCTGTTACTTTGTTGGAGTTTTTGACTATTAAAGTCCTCTTTCGTTTAAACTCTGCATTTGAGTCCTGCCTCCCACGCACCCCTGACAGTATGTCCGACACATTATGGCAATAAATGTTTCCTGATCATGAATGACGACGTATTTTGTGGTATGTTGAGTTCTGTGGAAGTGACAAATGACAAAGCAGGAACATTAATACTTGCGTCAATCACAACACGTCATTGGTGAAGACTCAGAGTCCGGTGAGATCTCTGCCGTCCGTTTCAGTCCACAAGGCTCCTGAATCAGGTTTGGAAGTTTGAGTTGTTTAGACGTCCGACAGGAAGTAAGAAGGTAAAAGCACCGACCTCTGGAGAACAAGGTTGTTCAAACTCAGTTAAGTCAGGACTTAACCCGTCGACTAGTCCATCACACCAGGTAAGGGGTACGGTTCAGTTGGTCCGGTCCACTACGGACCTCTCATACTGAGCAAAAAAACGCTTATGACTTCATACATTTCTACTTTTGTGTCTGTTTTTGGCTCTTTTGTGGCAAGATGTAACCTTCATACCCATTTAAATGAACTTCTTCCGGATAAAGTTGCGTTTTTAGAATGTAGAATAGAGACATCCACACATCTGTGAGATGGAGGAGATGCTGGTAGTTGTCCAGGGATAATGTGCACTTGTGCGCTGTCCTGTCCTGCTCCAGTGCTTTGGTCCTTTCTTGGCACATCTGCCGCCAGGTGTTTCGGTCAGAAGCCACGCCCTCCGAGTCCCCAGGTCTGCTTTCATTTGGTCTTTGTGGTGCTTCTTCTGCCCTCCAGCAGAGCGTTGTCCTTGGGCCGTACAGCACCATGCGAGGCAGCCGACGGAGGGGCGTCCTTACAACGTGCTCCAGCCAGGTGACGGAGGCCTCCATGCTCTTACAACCTGCTTAAATTGCACTGGGACTAAAGGGCCACGCCCCCAAATTCATTGCCAACACTTTTTATCGATTTCATCAGTTCGTTGTTGCACCCTGGTGGTGTTTTTACTTTGACGTTTGACTTTCCTTAAACTCCTAAGTGGTCAAAAGATGTATATATAGATAAGCATCTCTACATGTATCACTTTTAGTAATTTAATGACTAGGTATTAGTTACTAGTTTCTGATTAAGAAAAACAATAAATTTACCTTAATTATGAATCTATTAGTCTTAACGAGGCAGTTTTTGTGTGTGGAGGCCACAGTGATGCTACTGAGGAAGCTAACGTTGCTCACGCTACTTAATTGTGATAAATGTCAAACGTCAGATGGTCTTTGACAACAAACTATATATTTGGATTTCTGATTTCATCTTTATCAGCTGGGAAAAGCTGGAAATCTGTGTGATGAAGAGTGTGTGCTGCTTTCTACACACACAGACACACACAGTGACGACCCCCCAACCTGCCTGTCAGAGGAAGCTTGTTTCTATTCAACGAGCTGCAAATTAGTCTGACCCTTTAAACCCCCCCCACACACACACACACAGACACACACACACAGACACACACAGACACACACACACACACACACACACACACACACACACACACACACACACACAGACACACACACACACACACACACAGACACACAGACACACACACACACACACACACACACACACAAAGTCAGCAGGCTCTCCTCTCTCTCAATCCGTCTTGACTCACTCGCTCTTTCTTTTCACTCTGCCTCTGTCCCGCCCTGACACACAGGATGGACGTCTGAGAGACCACACACACAGACACACACACACAGACACACACACAAACACAGACACACACACAGACACACACACACAGACACACACACACACACACAGACACAGACACACAGACACACACACACACATTAGACGGACAAGTCTGGGGGAGAAGGTCATTAACTCCACAAAAGAAGAACAATAGGCATCAGCGTTTAAAAGGAGCTGATCCATCAACATGTGAGTAAAGATGGAGAGAGAGGAGAAGGGGAGAGGAGGAGAGGGGGTGAGGAGGAGAGGAGAAGGGGAGAGGAGGAGAGGGGGTGAGGAGGAGAGGAGAAGGGGAGAGGAGGAGAGGGGGTGAGGAGGAGAGGAGAAGGGGAGGAGGGATGAAGAAGAGGACAGGGGAGGAGAGGAGAAGGGGAGAGGAGAAGGAGGGATGAAGAAGAGGACAGGGGAGGGGAGGAGAGGGGGTGAGGAAAGAGAGGAGAAGGGGAGGAGGGATGAAGAAGAGGACAAGGGAGGAGAGGAGAGGAGGGAAGTGGGTAAGGAGGGAGGAATGATGAGACGACATACTTCCTGTTTCTGCTGTCAGAGCTTATTGTTTAGGGACAATAATGTCAACAGGAAGTGTAAACTTGTCCGTCGTCCTCCAACTCGTCGGCGATATTCAAAGACGACTTATTTTCATCACGCAACTCACATGTGCCTCATTAATACCGCAACAAACA